TTGCTTTTTATCCAATCCAACAAGCTCTGCCCATTCATAGGGATATTTAGATCTTTTGAGTTTAATGTGATTATTGATAGAGCTGGATATAAACGAACCATTTTAGCATCTGTTTTCCATTTTTTGCATCCATTTTCTGTTCCCTTTTCTCTCTTTTTCTGCTTTCTTTACACTTTTTTTCCCTTTTTGAATAGTGTCTCACTAAGTTGTCCAAGCTGGGCTCAAATTTTCCATCCTCCTGCCTCAGCCTACCAGAGTGTTGGGATTATAGGTGTGCACAACTATGCCCACCTTATAATTTTATTTTGACTCATTTGTTGGTTTATAAGCTAGTCATACATTTTAGGTTTATGTTACACATTCTCCTTTACCATAGTCTACGATTAGGTCCTACTATTCCACTTTACGGAATACTAAAACAGAAACTTCAATCTCTCTTCTCTTGGCCTGTGCGCTGCTTTTATACATTTTACTTCTACATATAAGTTCCACAATATATTGTTCTTACTCTTGCTTTGAACCATCAATCACCTTTTTAAGTTTTAAATAATGAAGAATTTTTTTTTAAAAAATAACTACCCAAATATTTACATTTCTAGGGCTTTCTGTTCATTTAAACAGAGTCAAATCTCATCCAGTATTATTTTACTTCTGCCCCAGGGACTCGTTGTAGCATTTCTTACAGTGTAGGTCTGCCGGTGATGTACTCTTTCAGTTTTGTATGTGAGAAGTCTTTACATCACTTTAGTATTTGAAAGCTCCTTTTGCCGGATATGTAATTCTAGGATGACCATTCTTTCCCCTCAGCTCTTCACGGCTTGCTCCATCAACTTCTGGATGACAAGAATCCTGCTGCCATCCTTATCGTTCTTCCACTGTATATACTGTGTCCTCCTTCCCTGGCTGTTTTTAAGATTGTTAGTACTTGTCTTCAGCAATTGGATAATGATGATTCTTCGTAGAGTTTTCTTCATGTTTCCTATGCAGGGAGTTCATCATCTAACCTCGTGGATCTGGGCTGGGGATTTAGCTCAGCAGCACAGCGCTTGCCTGGCAAGCGCAAGGTTGTGAGTTTGATTCCTGGTACCGGAGAAAAACCAAATCAAACCAAACCAAAACAAAACAATAACCTTCTGGATCTGGGGACTTACAGGCTCTCTCAAATTTGGAAAAGTTCCAGCCTTTTAAAAAAAATAAATTTCACTGTGCGTATTGGAGATTTTACAGCATGATGTTATACGACACATACAGACAGCAAAACGGTTAGTTGAGTGAAGCCAATTAATCTATCATCTGGCAGAATTACTTTTTTGTGACTAAAGCAATAAAACCTATTTAAGAAAAATCCCTAATAAAGTATCTTATTGTCATCCTCATTGTTGTATATCAGATCACTAGACTCATTCATCCTATGTAGCTGCTACTCTGTGTCCTTGGAGTCACATTTCCATTCCCTCTCGTCTCCCATCCCATAACCAGCTTTACTCTCTATCAAAACACCCTCTGTTTTTGAGGGGCACGTCATCTTTGGCAAGACAGTGTCTCCTCTGCTCCCACCACAATGCTTCTGCGGTGAGTGACAAACACAAAGAAATCACAACTTCACACTAAAAATGATCAGAGCCTTGATTTCTCCACTAGAAACTCCACATACACGGGGGACAAGGCGGTTAGGGGGAGGAGAGCAGGGGATGGAAGTGACCGAGATATATTACACGCACGGACCACTTCCCCCAAACAAACCTCATGATTATGAATTGCAAACACACACTAACGAAAGAAAAAAAAACCCTATACATACAGCTCAAGATGCCATACGCAGCATCTTAAATCGCAGGCCAAGGCCTCACATTCTGCCCTGGAGTCTCACGGCCTGGCCCAGGCTTGGGCTGGCTTTGTCCTGGGCTCAGGCAATATTGACAGCCACAGGTGTTGCTTCAAGTGTCTTGAGGGCAGAGAAGAGCTCAGTAGACAAACCTGGGGGACAGCCTACATCCCCCACTCCGGAGTAGGGACCTGCCCATCTGGCTCTTCCCAGGGAACCATGAAAGGCAAACATTGTGAATGGATTTAGAACATGGAGGCAGCTATGACCGTGCAACTAAAGACACACATGAAGAAGGACTGCAGAACTCCTTCGCAAGAGGTACGGATGGTGAGATAAGTGTGTTTAAAGCAAGGGAGGGCATTTTGAGGAGGAGTAACATGCGTCTTTTACTGTAATAATTTTTAAAATTTAGGCATGCACTGTATTTTTTATGATGCTTCATACTGTATGTTCTTTATTCACTCACCAACCAATGGACACTTAGGTTGTTTCCATATACTGATTTTGTGAATAATGATACAATGATCACAGGAAACTGGTAACTGCATCTCCTTTGGGTGTATTCCTCGGAGAAGAACTACTGGGCACTATGGTAGTTCTATTTTTAGTTTCTTTTAGAACCTCCAGAATGGCTACTAATCCACATTCCTATCGGCAGTATGCTAGCATTCCCTTCACTCCAAGCCACTGCCAACATTTCCTATGTCTTATCCTTTGGATAACAGCCATTCTAGAGGTGTGTGTCATTTTCTTGCTTCTTTGCTTTTACTGAAGAGACTATCCTTTCTGGTTAGCTTTGACATTACACATTATTCATTTTATCTTACTGGAGTCTGATATTTTGGTTTCCATAAATATTCTTGAGTTTTACTTGGGTTCAGGTTTTAGGCTTTGTTAAACAGAACCTGAGCAACTTTAGTCTGGGGCTAATTCTCCCCCTGCTGCGAGCAGAACTCTTCTGAGTACCCCACCCCGTATTCCACGAATTATGCAGTCTCCCATTCTGACTGGTGGGAAAGCCTGTCTGTATGAGTCTGCTGCCATAACAGGATGGCACTGGGTGTGTGACAGAAGCAGCTAGAAAGTCCTAAGCAACTGCTCTGGCAGGGGTCAGTTTCTGGTTAGGGCCCTGTCCCTGGCTGGTGTCCAGCCACCTTCCTAGCGTCATTCCAAGGTAGAAAGGCTGCACAAGGGGTTTCTTCCTCTTCACATAGGGGCAATAGTTCTCTCAGATCACAGCTCCACCCTCATGGCTTGCCGAACCCTAGTCACCCCCTTAAAGGCCCCGTCCCCAGTACACATATGGGTTATGGATTCAGTACTTGACTTGGGAGGGCAACAGCTCATTTGGCAGCAAGAGCTTACTCCCAGGCCTGGGTGAGCTCTGAGGACTATTCCCTCTACTCTTGTGGGTGGTTCTTTCCCCAGTCTTGGGACATTCCCTCACTCATGACCGCTCAGCACTCAGATGACAATTCTCTGCAGACACCTTCTCAGGCATCCATCTGCTCTCCTGTCCCTTGACTGCGAACTCCAGCTGTCTTTCCTCCCTAGATCTCCGACTCCGCCTCCCCTGCACAGTGGTTAGAAACCCTCTCCCAACACGAGCTGAGACAACTCATCTCACTTCCCAGTCTTCCCTGTCCCTTGCTGCCTAACATTCAGGGTCATAAAGACCCATACATTTCATCCGGCTTCACAGCTCTTTCAGGAAGGAAGGAGATCCAGACTCCGTTCTGCCGTGTTGTCATACAGTCTTTGATTTGTGTGTCTCTGCTATATCTCCCACTTGCTGAAATATTCTTCTTTAGTGGACAATAATTATCCCTTAGACTTCTGCTTGGACAGTCTTGTTCAGAAAGTCCGTCCCCAACTCCTCAAGGCTCGGCGAGGTGCTCCCTCTTCACGCTCCCGGGACAGTGCTGACCATGCTGCAGTGCAGCCACTGTTTGGGCTCCCACGGCCTCCGCCAGAACACAAGAGTCGGGGAGCGGGGGCCGTGGTGTGGTGTCCACCACCACATCCCAACCCCTGAGGGTACTGAGCACATCAGGGGCTCCGTGCACACACGTGAATGGATAAACAAAAGATGCTTAAAGTGACTACCCAGCAGCTGTCTCCACTTTTGTTTTATCACTGTTTTTTTCTTTTTCTGTATAACCCATTTGCTCGAAGGTTATACACAACCAGTCAGCATCTTGGACTAGGGTAATATTTGTGATTGGACCAAGCTATACTTTCAGCTTAAAAACAGCAACTGATTAGACTGAATGATATTGGGCCCTTCAGGGTAGCAGTTACCCTCACCCTAGGAATTGGCTCTCCCATACTTTGAGAGAACCAATCTTCTACTAAGGGCCTCTTCTAAAAATGCAAACCAATTCCAGAAACTGCATTGGTTTCCAAATTTTCTAATCATGTATTTACTGTCATCTAATTCTACCTTGATGGAAATAATAACATCAGAAGAAGCCAGTACAAACCTTCACTAATAATGTAAATCGGGACTAACTTCTCTCCAGAGCTAGTAAGTCATACATAAATTGTTCAATTCCATTTTCTTTTGAAATGGGCAAAAATCATATGAGCTTTTCTTCCTTGAGCTTCTTCTCTTTGTCTGAAGAAGGTAAATTTGAAAGACCAGCTAAACACGAGAAATGTAAATAACAGAGGCAGATGAAGCGTGGAAAGGTCGGCTCCCAAGACAGGAAGCTGACATTTCCCAGGGCTGTCCTGGTGGCCTCCAAAGTCTGGGGTCGCCTCCAGGCCCAGGTGGTCACTTGAGAAGCTAAATACTCTGGGTACATCCTCCACTGCTCCTCTGAGGGGGGCAGAACTGAGAACACGTTGTGAATTAACCCACCTCCACTGCCCAACAGTGGCAGAGAGCCAGAAGGACGTGTCTCCAAAATCCCCATCCCCCTGCCAGAGATCAAATCAGCAATGCTGCATAAAAGCCAACATAACAGAAGATGATGAAACCGAGCTCTGATTCCTTTTTATTTTTTGTACTGGGAATCAAACTCAGGACTTGCGCTTGCCAGGCAGGCGCTTGTGCCACTGAGCTATATCCCCAGCCCCAAGCTCTAATTCCTATCCTATGGAAGGGAGTTCTCAAGGAGCCAGCAAGTCCAACCCGCTGTCCCCAGAGTCTTAGAAGGGCAGTACTCACGCTGCAGGGGTTGCTGGCCGTCTGTGCTGGGCTGTAGAAGGACCCCCACTGGGCGGCTCGTCTGTCTTCCCGGGAAGGGGTGCTGTTCGGGGGCAGGCCTGCTGGGACCCCCGGCCCTGCGGCACTGGGGGGCTGGCTGCTGGGTGCCACAAGGGCGAAGGCGTCGTCCAAGAGGGAGTGCATGGTCTGGCGGGCCTCCTCGATGGACGGCTGGGGCGGGATGTACTGCGAGGCTGGGAAGGGGAGGCCGGGGTACCGGGCCAGCTCAGTGGAGGACGGCGGCGTCTGCACATCGGCCGGGAGGTCGGGATCCGACTGCAGCAGTGAAACAGCAGAGGGTTAGAGGCGGACATGAGCTTTCGCGCTGACCCTAAAACGAAGCTCTAGGGCCAAAGTGGAATTTAACAATGCTCCTGACAGTCAGAAAGAGCATAGCAGCATAAGTTTAAAATGACAACCGCAAAACTTGCCTTCTGTTTTAAGAGGGATAATTCCTTGAATTAGCAAAAAAGTGGGAATGGTCAGTAATTTTTTTTTTTCCCCCAGGAAAACTCAACCATCTGACATACACTTTAGGACCTGGAAGTAACATTTCTACTGACCGCCTGGGCACCAGAAAACACGTTTCAAAGTGAAAAGGCTCAAAGCACCTACTAGACATCCCATGGATACAGAAGCCATAAAGTATCACAGTCTATGCACTGTTCGCAGTAAGAAAACACCTGGGGGTGGAGCTTGGTGGTAGGGTATCTGCCCAGTATGAGCAAGACCCTGGCTCAATCCCAACACTACAAAAAAGTAAACAAACCACTGCTCTACGCATCTCTAAAAGAGGTCAAACTCATCACTGTAATAAAACTACTATGAGTATTAACAACTATAATACACACTATGGTAGCTCTTGGTGATAGATTATTCAGAAACTGTCTTTAAAAGGCTGGTATCTCTGGATAACATGAGTCATTAAGTGAGGTTTAACCTGGTATTTTTGTTGTTTTTTTTTTTGGTCTTTTTGAGACAGGGTCTCACTATGCAGTTAGGCTGCCCTTGAGCTCACTTTGTAACCCAGGCTGGTCTCAAACTCACAACGATCCTCCTGCCTCAGCCTCCCAAGTGCTGTGATTACAGGCGTGCACCACCACACCTGGCCAACCTGCTACATAATAAATGTTTAAGAGACAGGAAGATAAGCCACAACTAAGTTTTTAAAATCTTATTTCCTGATACTATATAGTTAAAAAAAAAATGCTGCCATAATAACAATATATATCCTTTTTTTTTTTTGAGACAGGGTCTTGTTATGTAGTCCAGGCTGACCATGGACTCCCTATATACCCCATGCTGGCCTCGAACTCATGACAATCCTCCTGCCTTAGCCTCTTGAGTGTTGGGATTACGACCATGCACCAACAGCCCCAGCTACGGTCTTTTTTAAAAACAGACGGTGTTTACAAATCTGAAAACCTCACATAAACACTCAGATTTTTGGATTCTCTTGCGGAATCTGAGGCTCCAGCACAACCCAGCCCTCAGATGTACAGGTGAGAAGCCCACTACAGCTCACAGTGTGCAGCTGCTGCCCCCTGGAGGCAGGGCCGATGCACTTCTGGTTGGCAGCTTCACTCTTCCAGGGCTGGTCCTGTGGGTTTCACTAAACCCACAATATTCCAGTAAAGGCTCCTGGGTGTCGATTAGGAACTCCAAGGCTGCCCAAAAGAGGCTTCTGATTATGCTGTGGGGAGGAAGCAAGCTCCTTTCCGCTAAGGCAGGCCAAGGGCCCTGCTATGCCTTCTCTAATTGCTGGTTTTCTGGAGGAAAAAATGAAGCCTGGCTATGAGCACACCACCATCTAACAACTCACAGGTGGGGAGAGGGAAACGCACGCCTGGAAGGACAACACCCGACTCGCAAAGGGGTTTTCCACACCCGGGCAGGGGCCCCAGCGGGCAGCGACCCCAGCGGCTGGCCGTGTCTCTGCACAGCCAGGGCGCAAGCAGCAAGGGCACGGGAAGCCTGCTCTCACGCACGCCCAGAGCTCCGACAGCCTCAGCCACTGCCAATCTTGTCCCAGGGGCCACGGGATGGTTCTGAAGATGGGAAGGTTGGTTCCCTCCGGGTCCCGCTGACCCCGAAACTCCCAGCAAGAAGGCCAGAGCGAGCCACAGCGTCAGGCCTCCTTTCGTTTCCCTCCTGCCTGGTCATTTTCTCAGGCCAGACCCTCAGAACCGGAAGCCAAGGGGTCTCAGGCATTTTCCCATATCCCAACACCCAGCACCACGTCGTTAACTCATGAATGGAATCCTGAGGGTGACAGAAGTTAAGATTTACCCAGGATCCCTAAGTGGGGATTTAAATTCCATTCTCCTGAATCCCAGCTGGAAAATTCTCTTATGATTCAATGTTGCTGCCTTTGTACAGATACACACTGATTTATCATTCTCCAGAAATACAGATGAGCCTTTTTACTTTTAGACATCAAACATTAAGACTATTTTTGTGCCTATCTGGAATATTTCATGGATCTATGAAAGAAACCATACACTGCAGTTTTCCAGGACAACCTCGGTCTACTGCTGCTGCCCAGTTTAATAATCAAGAGCATTCCCTCTCCATTTCACAAGTATCTGGCTCAGGAAATTGAGTGTGTTGGCACGTGCCTATAATCCCAGACGTGGGAGGCTGAGGCAGGAGAATCACCACAAACTCAAGCCAAGTCTGAGCGACATAATGAATTTAAGGCTAGCCTGAACTACATAGTGAGATGCCATTACAAAACACCAAAAAAAAAAAAAAAAAAAAAAAAAATCTGGCTAAACTATATCAGGGCCTGACAAGCGATTTTGTTGTGTTTTATTTTGTTTCATTTTGTTTAGGGTCTTGCTGTGGTGCTCAGGCTAAAATCGAACTCCTGCCCTCAAATGATCCTCCCGACTCGGCCACCCAAGTAGCTGGACCTAGGGGTCCATGCCACTCTGCCATCCCTGACAACTTTTCTTGGTAAAGAGTCAGACAGTAAATACTTAGGTTCCACAAGTCACACAGTCTCCGTCACCACCCCTCCACTCCACAGAAACTGCCATAGGTAACACGTAGACCACCAGGCAAGGTGGTCTTTTATTGTAAAGTTTTACAATAAAACTTTACTATGTTCCCTAAAACAGGCCTGAGCTACAGCCAGAAGACCGTGATAGGACCGTGTTTGGGGTATTTGTGAAATGATGTTGAGCGTTTTTCAGTGCTGCTTGCGTAATTTAGAGGAAAAGAAACCTTAAATAAACATCTGATCCCCTGAGCTCCAGCTAAGATAATTGTGCGTGGTGTAACTGCCTTTCCCAAGAAAGTACCTTGCGCTCACTCTTGGGTGCTGAGCTCCAGGGTGGCTCCGTGTCTGTCCCCAGGAGGACCAGGCCCTCTCAGGAGCCGGCTCCCTCCCTCCCACTGAGCCTGGCTGTCTTCACACTATCACTGTCCGCCTTCAACTGTGCCCCTTTTAGCGGAGAAGAAATGTTTAATTCTAAATTTCTTACTTTTCATTAAGTTCCCTATCCCATAAACAATTTTAAAAATATTCAGACTTTCCTTGTTTAAGGGCCGAGTTTTAGTCCCACAACTAGGTCATGAAATGAATTGGTCACTCAATGAGGAACTATGTAAAGTATGTACATTCCAATATTCAGAACGAAGCAATCGTCAGGGGAAACTCCAACCCGATGACTTTCCTTTTACCCGCAACACTCTTGCATGCAGTACTGTGATGTCCAACCGGGTATAAAACCACAGTTCTGTCCTGTACAGGACAATCAGCAGAAATCACAGTACTGGGCCATAGAAGCCACCATAAGGCTGCACTCCGCTCACACTCCTGCGTCCTGGGTCCAAACGCAGGTCTTAAGTCCCAGTGGAATATTGTCAAAACCAAGGAGTGGACCTCAGGTCCAAATAGAGGAATGTCTGTAAACAAAGGCTGAGCGTTCCTCCACTGAAAACCTGAAATGTCCCAAAATCTGTAATTTTAGGGGCCAGGGATATAGCCCAGCAGCACAAGCACCTGCCTGGCAAACGCACGGCCCTGTGTTCAATTTCCGGTACCAAAACCAAAATCTGTAATTGTGCGATCTCTTGACATGATGCTTGGTTTTGGGTTTTGGAGAATTTTGGATTTTGGACTTTCAGACTAGGGATGCTCAAATATTCAAAGAAGAAATCTGAAACTCTTCCAGTTCTAGCACTTTGGTTAAGGTTTACTAAACTAGACAAACCCACTCTCTTCTTAGCACTAGAGGTGGAGCGGGGGTGGGACAGAGCCCTAAACAACGTTCCTCTCACCAGGAAACCCCCACAGCCATCTGACTTGGGGAGGAAAACAAACCTGGATGTTTCTCTTTTCTACATCCCACTCTGAAGGCTGAGGACAGGGCTCGCATATGGAAAGGAAAACCCGGGGTGTGTTCGCTGCCCCACTGCCCCACAGCCCCCGGCTGACACAACTCTGGTGTCCGCCAGGAGTGGGCCCAGCCCCACTGCTCCTGGCATCTACAGCCCCTCACTGGCAGCCCCTCAAGGTTGTGCCCCGAGGCCCCGAGCCCACCCCAGTCCCTAAGGGCAGGCACCACGCACCGGGCAGCCTATGTAGGCCGAGTTGTGCACGCCAGGCGGCCGCTTGTAGGTGCCATCGCTGTCGGTGGTGATGAGCCTGTCCTTCTCGGCGTCTGCCGGGCAGCCGTTGACCTGGTGTTTCCGCCGAGGCTTCGGGGAACGTTTTATCCGTGAGCTGCCAGGAAAAGCAGGAATCATCTTTATAAGCAATGTGGCATCTTGCTGCGGGCTCATCAACTAAGACCACAGGTGTTCTGTGTGCCTGTGATGTGCTGGCCACTGTGAGACACAGCCCAGGTGCAGGCAGCAAGCGGCCACCGCCAGGGCTCCAAGGATGCTCAGAGCCTCCTGGGAGGACCTAGCAGCGCTGGGACCACAGAGCAACCAGGCGTCTCGGTGCCACATGGGTGCACAGGTGTGCAGAGACGGACAGGTCAAGGCAGGCTCTTAATTCCCAGGTGGCCCGACTGGGGTCCTGAGGAGCACGCAGGGCCAAGGCCGGGAGGGATGAGACGGGGGCTGGGCGGTGGCGGCACAGCACCCCGCAACTCCTCCTCACTGACTTTCATGAGCACAGGCAGGACCTCTGCCCGGCCCCAGAGTGCAACAGGGTCCCCTTTGCCCTGGCCTCTGCTGGGTCCCGCAGCCCGGCCCACCTCTTCCTGGGCTCGATGAACACAGAGGGCACGCTGGCCGTGGGGTCCAGGATCTTGTCGATCTGCATCTGCGCCCTGCGGTACACGCGGTGCCGCTCCTTGGTGTCACCCGAGGACAGCTCGTCCACCACCGGGAACTCGTAGTGGCCTCGGCGCTTGGCGCGCAGGCGGATCTTGTTGCGATGGTGCTCGATCTCCGACTTGTGCCGCAGGGCGGTCTGGATCTGGGGACGGGCGGCAGGGGACAGTGGCAGGGCATCCTGGGGCCCCGTGTTGGACAAAGCCTGGTGGGGACGCCCTCCTCTCCCCACCTGGACTTGCTGTCCCGTAGGCTCGAGGGAGGCACCAAGGGAAGAGACAGAGGATGAGCACAGAGCTTTATTCTGGCCCGGAGTCCTGGCTTCTTCTTCCCCACAGGGGGAGAAATTCTAATCTTGGAAATCCAACGACAACCCAGAAGACACACCTGTCTTATAGACAAAATATGACCCAAGAACAAAATAGATATCTACCAAGTCATCTCACTACTTTTAGAGATTTTTTTAAAATAAGACTGACAAGCCACGCGTGGTGGTACAGGCCTGTAAACCCAGCGTCCAGGAGGCTGGGGCAGGAGGATCCTTGGGATCTGGAGGCCAGCCTTGATCATATAGTGAGTTCAAGGCCAGAGTGAATTATATAGCCAGATGTTGTCTCAAAAAATCAATAAAGGGGCTGGGGATTTAGCTCACCGGCAAAGCACCTGCCTGGCAAGCGCAAGGTCGTGAGTTCGGTTCCCGGTACCAGAGAAAAACCAAAAAAAAAAAAAAAAAATCAATAAAGCCTGACATGCAAAGAACACGTTCCCCAACTTAGGGAAACACGTTCCCTGGCACTAAAGACGGAAGAATCACTGCCAGCCGCACAGGATCTGAACCAGGTCTCCAAGACCAAGCAGGAGCCGCAGCAGGACCAAGGAGACGTACAGGCAGCAGGCTCAGGCCTCTGCCACAACTGCCTTCTGCGCATGTGCCTAACAGCACCTCGGCTACTACGAGGTCTAAGAAACCAAGCACAGCGTTTCAAGGAAGCTTGCTGGTGGGCAGCCCACGCCATTTGTGACCATTTGACGCTGCACCTTTCACTTGCCCATAAGCACTGACCAAATCGAAATGTGACTTTTTTTCATTAACATGCTTTTGAATAAAAGCAAATACCTCTTTGTTGATTTTGTTGGTCTCTGCCACTCGGTCAGCGAGGATGGGGTGCTGCGCTGGGGGCGCTGGGATGGGCTGCATGGCGATGAGCTGGATCTTACTGGGGACCTGTCGGCTGGCCTCCGAGGAGCGGGAAATCCTGTCTACGTGCTCGAAGATGGAGGCCGAGGAATGCTGCTCCGCCCCGGAACTGGGCAGCCGGGGGCCTGGAACAGAGGAGCGAACCAAAAGTCAACCTAAAGAGAGGACCACTGAGGAGTATTTCTGACAGCATCCTCAGATGAGGCCTCTGACCAAAAATACATCCTGACCCGGGTAGCAGAGTACAGTAGAGCTCTGGATTTTGAGTAACTTGTTCTGCAAGTGCTCTGCAAGATGAGCAAACATTTCTAGAACACTGTAACTCCATAAATGAGCCACATCTCAAATGAGTAGTGCATGACACTGAATGTCACATGATCACAAGTGAGCCAATGGCACCCCACCTGTCTCTGTCTCTCTCTCTCTCTCTCTCTCTCTCTCTCTCTCTCTCTCTGATTGTGGGTGATTTCTCCCAACAGCAAGAGGTTATAGAGGTTATCGCCTCTGTAGAGGAGGGGAAAGAAAAGAAGAGGAACCCCTCCCTTCAGATAAGGTCAGGGAGATGTGTAAAATGTAGGAAATGGTGCAAAATGTAGAAAAGCACCACCCAAATAAGGCTGAAGCAGTGCCAGCAATGAATCTGCTTAGGGACAATGCAATATCACATTTCCACAAAAGCCTCTAAAGGAGTCAAAAGCAAGTGCCATTGGATAGGTTTCCTGTTAAAGTTGCATGAAGAGAAAAAGATTCCACTGACACAACAGATAGTGATTCCGTTAGTGACAGTGAAAGTCGTCCTACACAATGACCCTCCTCTCTCTCGTCTCCCTCACACCAGCCACGAAGGTTTTCCAAGGTAAGTGCAGATTACTTTATTTTTCTTTATACTTCATATTTTCTTTATCATTTTGTACTACATTACAATATTCTAATCATTTTATGTGAATAGTTTTGGGTTGTAGAAACGATCATCTGAGTCTCCATGATTTCTCAGGGGGAAATTCACTTTGATACACAAAGGCTTGTCTCTAGAATGCATGCAAACCCAAGGTTTTACTGTACTTGAAATTTCTCTATTTTGAGTTAAAATGGTTGGGGCTAAATATGTCTCTGTAGCTTCATTAAAAAGTAGAGATACTTTCAGGGAAGATGTGAAGGAATCATTATGATACTCTCAAAAATTGCCCTGTTTTATCTAAATGTGGTTTAAATCTCCAGTGACAACAGGGAAGAACTGGAGGAACCTGGAATTGCTCAGCTGGTCAATAAACGATTTTACAGGACACTTAGGAAAAACATCTGCCGCAGCTCTGAGCCTCCCCTGGCACCCGGAGGGAGCTTGCAAGGGTGACGTCAGCCAATGGTGAAGGCAGTGAGCTGCAGCCCGCCTCTGGGACCCACAGACAGGCACTCCTGTCGTTTCTACAAAACGGCACCACATCCGCACATAACCTGGACATACCCTGCAAGTCATCTCTAGATTCCTGTAATCCTAATATAATGTACAAGCTGTGCCAACAGTTGCTGTTTAGGAAGTACCGGCCAAGATAAAGTCTGTACATATTCAGGACAGACGCCGTTTTTTTCCCTGACTCGTTTTGCTCCATGGCCAGCTGCACAGGGAATCCACAGACACGGACTGTACAGCTGAAACACCAAAAGGCACGTGGTGTGCACTGGTTAACAGCGATGGCTCCTCACCTTTCAGCTCTGATGCAGAAAGAAAAGTTGAAGAAGCATGAGAAGAAAAGCCTGCTGCCTGGAGGGAATCCATTCCCACTTTAAAAAGAGATTACAAAGTACACTTAGAAATGGCTAAAATGGTCATTTGTATGTATACTTTAAGACAGTAATTTTTAAGATAATAACATCTCTGTAAAAGGAGAAATTTAAATGTGCAGGGAAAGAAAAGATGGAAAAAAAACACTTTACAATGTTAACAAACTAGTCTTGGTATACTGAGTGATTGCTTTCCAATTTCTTCCATTTTCTACAGTGAGGTTCTTCTCTAATGAATATGACCTATAGTAGAAGTAACCCCAATAGATTTTAAGTTTTAAAAAAATAGAAGAGAGAGAGAGGAAGAGGAGGTGACTAGGTGGAAAGCTGTGTGGTCAAACTGAGATCAGCGGATGCCCTGGCTCTCCTAAGCCATGTTCAGCTCCTGCTTTTAAAATAAATAGCCAACTGCAGGAGTTCAAGCAGTGAACACCGTTTTTGAACAAATGCTGAAGGTTTAAAACCCCAAGTAAAAGTGAAACATGTAGAAGTTTCTCTTCGTTATAAAGAAGACCAAGAGCTGGAAAAGCAATAAGAAACAGTTGATATTTAATATAAGGGATGCACCTCAGTTTGTGTAGGGTTTCGTATTTCCTCTCCATTAGAATTATATGGCGTTATCCCAAACAACTAGAAATTATGTATTACAGCTCTGACTATACCAGCAAGGGGGCAGCAGCAATTCTTTGCGCCTCATCCCCGCAGGGAGCCCGTCTGCACCACCTCAGCCAGCCAGCCACTGCTCGTCCCCGGAGGCAGCTCTGCACACCGCAGGCTGCAGGCCAACACCTACACACGGAGCATCAGCACTGCCAGATGGGTCGGCCATGCTGACCGAACCTTCTAAAGGAGCCATAAGTGTCGCTCAGGGTGGCCCAGGAAGCTTCTGATACTCAACAAGGGGAAATAGACCCATAACAGATTAACACTGCGTGAGTCCTGCCTGACAGTGAATAGGGACTTTGGATTAAAACCTCCTTCTCTGCCAATGTTAGTTTTAAAAAGCAATGGTAGAAATTACACTACATGGTCAAGAGATCTATTGCACATCACGGTGACTACAATTAATTGCAGTACTGTTGTATTTAAAAATCGCTAAACAAATAGACCTTAGGTATTCTCACCACACACACAAAAATGATAGTCGCGTGAGATATCTCGGGTTGAATAGATTGCTAAGCCAGTCTGTGGTATACACATCACGTGGTAACCCTAAATATATATTTTCATCCTGTCAATTAAGTAAGCATTTTAAAAGAAAAATAACATTCTCCTACTTAAGGCCCCCCAAAAGGACATAATACAGGACCATATAGGGTCATTTCAACCGAACAGACAGAGGAAAGAGCAGAAATGCTTCAGCAACAGGTATTTTTAAGGCACCGTTACTGCATGATCTGCAAATAAGTGCGGCAAATCACATCATTACCAAGGCCGGTGGTGCACAACCCCGCCCGTGAAACAGCAACACACTTCCCTGTCCTGTCCTCTGTCCCCTGAACCTAATGCGTCCCAGGTGCTCAGTAAGCCCTGAGTGGATGACTGACTGACTGATTGACTAACTGACTTAACTGTAGTCACCTCAACTCAGTTTGTAAGATTTTTCTCTTGCAAAGGGGTCTGGGAATCAGCCTTGGTGAAAAGATGATAACTATATTTTACAATCAATCATTTGGCGCTCCAAAATTCCTCAGATATATATAACAGGGTGTTACATGTAGTAAATCTGGTTGTGAATATCAATTAGCTTGGCAGTCTTTAGCAGATGCAAAACTAAATGTCGGCTCGGATCCCACATGAAATCCTTGAACTTGGAGTTTGCAGGGTTGAAATGAATGAAGTAGATATAACATATGTAAGTAACTACTTACAAATCACAAACTTGTGCACTCACCCCGCAAGGAGAGCATAACGGAAACACCCAGCATCCTGTCCTTAGCTACTTCCAGTGACAAAGAAGAGAAAGACAGAGAGAAGCCATGGTCGGGGACGGAGGCAGTGACCGCAGCAGCGTTCCACCCTGTGCAGCTGCCGCCACCCTAGGTCACGGGGCATCTCCTCAGCCTCCTGTCACATCCTCACTAGGGCGCCTCATCTGCATGCCTGTGAGTGTGAGCACAGCGGCCTGTGAGTGTGAGCACAGCGGCACGTGGCTGCGTAAGCCCTGAAGGGCTCCTGCATGCTCCACGGTACTTCCAAGGGTCTGGCTGCTCTCCAGGGACAGCTGGGCAGGCAGCAGAGCACAGCCTTGAGTTATCAGAAATAAAAGTCTTTTCTGAGCACCTACCGCAGGGGATGGGAGGAGGGGCTTAAAGTACCAGGTGACCCAGGACGGCCGTCAGAAGCCTCGCCAAGAGCCCTAGAGAGAGCATGGGGGTGGCTGTGACAGGTGCCCCAGGGCAGGGGACACCGCCTGGGGCAGGGCGATACAGAGGATGGCGTCAGGATGGCTCTCGCACAGCCTCCTGCCTCCACTGATTTTTATCCCATTCGACTTAGAAAAAAAAAAAAAGGAATTGTATGTGAATTACGGGATAACTCAAAAGCTGTGAGGAAAGCTAACACTCCTGCTCTACGACATTTAATGAGGTTCTAAGCAAGCAGCAGAGTACTTTACAGAGGCAGGAAAGCTGTCTTACGGCACCTTCTAAAAAGGACACGATGTGAAGAGCATGGATGGACACAGTAAGGAAGCTGGCTCTCTAAATCACGCAAGCAACACACAGACGCTGGCGCCCTTCCTAACCAGGACAGCAGTGTCTGAGTCCCTCCTCCCGCACAGGCGGCTCCCACCCGCAGCCCAAGCGCCTGCTGCTTGACTTCTAAATATGTGCTGAGTGGCTCTTGACTTTTGTCAGCCTTGTAGAACACACCGGCTGTGATACTGTCAGGAAGAGTCAAAGGCAGGCACTAAAAGCACGATGTTTTCAGGGAAGCAATGAACAGACACTGAGAAAACCTACCGTCCTTTATCCCCCAAATGTTTCTTTCCCAAGATTAAATCTTGACTTTTTTTTTTTTTTTCTGGTACCAGGAATCGAACTCATGACCCCGCACTTGCCGGGCAGGTGCTGTGCCGCTGAAATCCCCAGCCCCTTAAAACTTGACTTTAATCCTGTCTGTCTGCAATACAGCACCTGTGATCATGGTGTTAAGTAATTTTTAAGAGTCTGTGAAACTGGATCCAAAGAAAAACTTCTTCCCTTCTTCTAAGCAGGGTTTGTCCTGAAGATTATAAATGAATCAGCTGGGCGGGGTGTCCAGGACCGGCAGCGCCTCAGGAGCTAAGGGAGGGCCACAGGGACGTGAGGGACAGAAGAGCTTGTTGGGTTTCGGTCCACAATCTCTTCATTTATAGAGCACAGTTCACTCTGCTGCACTTTCGTACAGAGACATTGGTGATCTCTACAGTGTAACTGTAAAAGCTGCTATTTCAAATAATATGCAAAGCTTTCCAATTATCTTTGCATTACTGAAACACATCCCTGAAATACAAATAGAGCTCTAACCAATGCAACAGCTGCCCGACACATTTACTTAGCGAAAAACCGAGCTATCTTGCCCTCCCTCCAAATCTGCTCCCAAGGCTAGGAAGCTCCCTGGCCGTAGATTTGTTCACAGCATGAGTCTCATGGTAGTGACTTTTAAAGAGAATGAGGTTCACTTCATACCTGGCCTACAACACCCTTTCTGATCCCCAATCCAAAGACACAAAGCCATCTACTCACACCACCCTGCCTGCAGGAAGACAGAACTAACAGGAGGACCTCACCAGGGCATGCACGGAACTTTCTGACCCTGGACAGCTGTGTGGGGCCGGGTGTTAGGACTATGGCTTCCACTCAGTTCTTCCTTGTCCTTCCTGTAGAAGATCACGTGGACTCTACACTAGACAGAAACAAGGCTGCCAACCTTCAGAGGCGCCTCAGTAAACCCCAAACCTCTTGCACAGTCCTTTACCTCAAAGCAGACACCAATACAATGCGTGAGGGTGACAAAGGATGCTGCGACACTCACACGAATACACGCGAAATTTACACGCACAGCCCATTTCACAGGTAAGAAAAGGAAATGATTTAGCATCTGAAGCGGCTTAAAACCAAGGCCTGTGGGGATCTCAAGGGTACTTTAAGGTGGAGAATGCGTGATGTCACAGACCGCTCTGCGGGGCTCGGTGGGCCTTGCCCTCGGGGACCGCTGCTGGCGCCTTATCTCCCGAGTCCCTCTCACTGGACTCCTCGCTCACCGTAGAGTCGGCGTCGGAGGGGGAAACTCTGCAGACACAGAACAAAATGCACACATTAAAAACAAGAACGAACACAAACAAGAAGGCTACGTTAATTTGGAAGCTGAGCTTCCAGGCAAAGCTGGTAGAGACGCAACAGTCGAAGGATCACACCGACACTACACAGTGCTACCATGTCCTAAGGACAGGGGAATACGGGTTACCGAGCAGCTCAGCAGGCTACAATTCAGCAGATGCTAGGAAACCAAGTGCCAGACTGGAAGGCAGTTCCACAGCGCCAGGGGCCCAAGACCCAGCTCTGGGCCCTGGGTCATCTCCACACAGGCAGTCTGGGTCGAGCCCAACTTGTATCAAAAAGAATCTGGGGCTGAGACCTGGTTTGGGGTCAACAGGATCTGAGATTCTCCAGGAGGCCAGGATGATTCTGCAGTCACGCCAACAACTCCAGAGCTTTGGGAAATGCCCATATATCCAATTTTGGGGTAAGTATCCCTACTGAGAGTAGAATCTTTATTAAAACATCAAGGGTATCATAGCAGCCAGGTCACACCAGGCTAAGTAAATCCTTGATCACTCAGCATACCCTATACCTGGGCTCTGGCTTCTGTGACAGCATGAAGTGATAAGCAATTCTGGGGCCCCCAAGGGACACTGAAATATGCAGTTATCATGCGGCATTGCTTTTAGGATCCCCATAGACACCAAAACCTGTCGATACTCAAAGCCCTTAATATAAAATGTCACGGTATTTGATAAAACCTGTGCCCACCCTCCTGTATCCTTTATATCATGTCCAGGCTACTTCTGATACCTAATACAATGTAAATATTGCATAAGGAGTTGTCATATTGCTTAGGGAATGACGACGAGAACAAAGTCTGCACAGGTTTAGTGAAGAGGCAATTTTTTGTGTGAATATTTTTGATCCATAACCAGTGGAATCCATGGATATGGAGGCTGAGGGTAGAGAGGGACAACTGTATGCAAATACTGTATGCAACACCATGCAAATCACCAAGGTGAGAGATGCTCATGGTAAGGCTACAAGAAGCAAAGAAATACTTTGCACAATTTTACTAGCATACTCAATCATCTTTAGCAATTTGGCTTATTCTTAGCTTGCAAAATAATTAAGTAAATAGCATCTCTCTACATGATTCATTTTCTTTCATAACGATCATGCTCTAACATCCATTATGTCATTACAACTAGGCCAGGCCCCACGAGTAGGTTTTCTGATAAGAAGGAAATCATGACATCGTTTTGAACGTTCATTGTGCTGCCTACCCTTCCACGCTTAGCAGATCAGCAGGTAGGGTTGCAAAGCTCAAAGAAAAGCTCATAATCGGAGTCACCCGCAGCCGAGGCCTGGCGGTACTACGAGCCACAGGCACCTTCCCAGGACCCGATTCTGAACTTTGTCTTTTTCGACTGAGCTCCAGGGTGTCCCAGTCTCTGAGAGTAACAGGGACTTCCTGGCGGTTTGGAAAATGAGTGAGTGATTCTCTCCACTGCTCTACTCTGACAGAGGGGCTGGAATTAATTAGGTGGAGAAGAGTTCCGTGCGGTGCGCTAACAAAGGGATGGCACAGGTCGCTGGAGAAAACGAGAGCGAACAGAACATGGTGAACGTCACCTGCGGACAGAGCAGCGAACTCATATACAGCCACTGGTACCACAGGCAAGGGTACAGAAGGCGACACTGGCTGGGAATGTGCACCGGGCCAAAAGGCACATTCCAACCTTCACAGACGGCGCTTCCTTATCTTAAACCTTCTGGGGAAGGAATCACACAGCCCACTCCTGTAGTGCGGCAGAGTGGACCCAGAGCCCTCGGGTGCCTATGTGCCTGGGAGCTTCACCAGGCTCATACCATCAGCCCTTCTGATAGTGGAAATTGACAACCTGAAACCAGAAACACTCTCTGAGACACAGAACAACCCAGAAAGCCCAGTAATAACCTTCCTCTGTGGCGGACGTTCTTGGAAGGGATCTTGGACTTGGGGCTGGGGACATCTCCGTTTTCCGAGGGCGTGGTGTGGTCTTTCACAGGTCCCGGCAATGGCGCTGGTTCATGAATAATCAATATGTCATCTTTGTTGTGCTGCCCCAGATGCTGCTTGGCAAAGTCGAAGCCCTTTACGCTAGGGATCTGCAGCTAAAACACACACACAGGCACACACGTGAGACGGTTAACACCTGAGGACAATAAAGAGACATCGCGTGGGTGACAAGAGGAGCTCCTGCCTGACCCAGGACTATACTGACAATGCCACCAGCCCAGTTCCACAAGCATCTCTACAATGCTGTGTACAAGGTCCTGTTTGTACCTAGAATTTGTGACAGATGCTTGCAAAAGATTAAACAAGAGTACTAGGATTAAATAGCAAGGCCATAACGCAAAAGCTATTCTGAGACAGCAGCTGCCCTGCTGCCACAGTGGCAAATCCTGAGCCTGTAACTGCAAGAGAACAGCGGGGCGAGACGTGGTAGGGGAAGGCTACGGAGGCCAGACCTTCGTGGCGGGCAGGACTGGGAAACAGAAAGGGGGAAATTACCAAGGGCACGCTCTAGGAAGTGTGATTAAAAACTGTTTTAAAAAATGCATTACTGAAAAGACGCATCTCCCTCAAAATAATCCCCCTCGCTTCCAACACGCTAATCCCATCATCTTGTCACTTTCTGAAGCGGTTTTGGGGTCCTCTTTCATACCGTGCACATGATATAATCTAGTATAAACACCAGAGGAGGAAGGATATAGGGGGTGCTGTACCTAAATGACTTCACATGCCAGCTTTTCGGGGCAATCAGAAAACCTCTAAATGTTTCTAGCCAAGCAGATTTCTAAGATCCAAGCAGACAAGGTACAAGGGACCAGTAAGCAAGCCCAGCAATACCCCATATGCATAAAAGCTATAGCAGCTTGAGCTGAAAATCTTAGCAATGAAGAGGGAAGGAAGGAACAGCTCCGGAAAGTGGGCAGAGAAACTGGGAGCCAGCCAGGAGCAAGAGCGAAAAGCCACTAGTGACCTGAAAGTTTTCAGCAGGGCGGCCGAACAGTGGGGCTGGGAAGGAAGGAACGGGAGTACGAGGGGATGAGGGTCAGAGGCGATGAATGGCAGGCGTCACCCTCAACGTGCTTAGCGTGAGGTGACAGAAAAGACCCCCAAGAGCAGTTTGCTGCAGCTGCAGATGGAGGGCAATAGCTCAGGTGACCGACAGGCTGAGAGGTGACGCTGAGAGCCATCTCTCCAGAAGGTGGCGAGCAGGAAAGTTGAGATTTTTCCAGATGAACACAGATCTAAAGGTACAATGTAGAAGAACATCTAACAGTGTGAGGCTAGGATGAGGAAAAGGACCCAAGGAGGAAAAGAGGAGGTGACTTCAAAGAAACGGAAGAATTCAAAAAGTGCAGGGTAATAGAAGCCAAGGGAAGAAAGAACTTGTAGAAAAGAGAGATCAATAACAGAAGCAGGGCACACAGCTGAAGGAGAAAAGGATTTGCAGAAAAAGTCCCTGCTCACCGTAGGAGGAGCCAGAGTCCTCCCTGGGGACACAGAGTTCCACCAACACCAAACCCACAACCAGACCTGTGAGCCGCTCTGTGGACCCAGGCTGAGACAGAGAGGACAGCTGAGGTGCCCGGAGATGTGGGAACCTACTTTGTTTCTAGTGCTAGGAATCAACCATGGGTCTTATGTGTGTCAGACAAGAGCTCTACCACTGAGCTATACCCCTGGCCATGTCTCATGACACCATTTTTTGATAACGATGAACAGTTCTTTCCTTAAATCCAGTTTTCAGAGTATAGGAAAATAAGCTACATGTTTTTAAAAAATCATCCTAAGGGGGTCACCTCAACAGGAACATTTCTTGGTAACCAAAGCCCTCCTTGGACAGTTTTTGAGCCAAAAGACATAGTCACCCAGGTCTAAAGAGTAACTTTCAAATAATATATTGCATAGAAAAGCAAAATTGGGGCTGGGGATTTAGCTCAGCGGCAAAAGCGCCTGCCTGGCAAGCGCAAGGTCGTGAGTTCGGTTCCCGGTACCGGAGAAAAAAAAAAAAAAAGAAAAAAAAAAAAGAAAAGCAAAATTGTTTATTGTATTTGCGTTAACCGTATGCACAAATAAGTGACACTAGGGACTCAGGTTTGTGACCCAAGGTGACAAAACTCTAGGATGGATGGATGGAAAAGTGACCTGCAATAATGATTTCTGCCAGCAGAGGGGGACAAAACGCACCGAAAAGGTAGTTTACAACGAGTTGCTCGGAAACAAAGGCCTGATCACCTCTATTCTCTGAGAAGGGAGCTCCTGCTACAAGAGCAGGCCACTGAGCCACACACCCCCAGGCTCACTGCAAAGGAGAGACCTCAACCTCAACCTGCTGTTGCAGGAGACTGGATTAGCACAGGGATCTTCGACCGGGCCCCTGGGCATGGCAGGTGGCCCTTTTAGGGATCAAACTGCAGATGCACAGCTTCTGCATCTGCTCCCACCTCCAGGTGACTTTCCCAGCCTCCCTCTCCCACCACCCCTGCAGTGCTGCTCCAGTGTGAGAGAGCCCCAGCCCCACCCTGCCACCACCCGTGCAGGCTTCTGGGGTGCAGAGGTGCAGAAACCTCTGAGACATCAAATCAAAAAGACAGCACGGAGACAGCACAGAACTGCGGGAGGCTCCCTGTGTGTCTGCTTTAATGAGGCAGGGCCAAGAAACAGGATCCCTGGGTCCCTAGTGGGATGCAGAGGAGGCAGAAAGGGCAGGAATGTTTCTGTGGAACTCCATCTCTCTCACCTCATTTCACCGGCCAGAAAGAATCGTCTAGAGCAAAGTGGACAGGGCAGCAGTGAGAAATCGCGAAGGCCCTGCCTCGCCCATCCTGGGGACAGGTCATGCAAGCTCTGGGCTTATTTCACTTAGAGGAGGGACGCTCAGGATCTGCCTTCACCATGCTGGGAAGCACCCGTGTACTCTAACACACACACTGGCCGGGAGGTCACCAGCCTCATATCTAAAAGTTCCGCAAGCCCCTGTTGTAGCAGGGGTCTCAGTTTTGGCCTTAAACCCACATTTTACATCAGAGGACAAAGGAAGGAAATTTTCCTTGCCCCGACCCACCCCCACTTTTTTATTCTGTTTTAGTTTGGCTTGCTTCTTTGGGACAGAGTCTTGCTATGTAGCCCAGGCTGGCCTCAAACTTGGGATCCTCCAGCCTCAGCCTCCTCAGTGCTAAGATTACAGGTATATGCCAAGGCTCCCAGTTCTATATGCTTACTTTTGAAAGATCAAAATCACAACTTCAGATTAAAAGAACAAATATTAGAGCTAAAACAGCATTGCATATATTCTTCAGCATTTACTCAGACTTGTAGGATATTTTCATAAACATGTTGAACAACTACTGAATACTGCAAGTCCTGTGTTTGGGCCACTTCATGAAAAGTCTTTTCCTTATGGTCCTTCACGGCCTCTCTGTTTATTTGTTATCCCTGTGTACTTATTAGATTTCAGTTAACTACACAGCAACATGGTTGGGTTCTACTGTCAATAATAACACATTTAATAGCAATCATAAACATGCCTTTTGTAAATCACACACTTACTAGTCCAATGTTTCCTGTTTGCTGTAAATTTCCACAAAGATTTGACTGTACTCTTAAAAACCAAAGCATACATAAAACATAAATATTATGTATGTGAAAATTATGGAAGCCACAGGAAACTCTTGAACTTTAAAAGAAAACGTATTTCATACAATTGGGGTGGATTCCTACCAGACTTTGACATGCTGTCCTATTTTATGGAATACATAATTATACACACTATTTTCATCTTGAAATGGAATTACAAACCCACTGTATAATTTCTCAAGTGTCCATCTGCTAAGCCTTGTTAAGATGGCTAGAAAATTAAAATTTGACACTGATTGCTCCTTGCTGATAATTAAAATCCCAACAAGCAATTTCCAGTTTTAGGACACCACTTCGATCCTGTTGCACCTCCTTGCAGCTCCTGAAACAAAGCGAAACAGTAACAAACAGAATCGATGATTCTCTAAGATTCTCTAACCACCGCCTCCACCACTCGCTAAACCTTGCCGAAGCCCTTTTGGGTACATTGCCAGTAAGAAGAGCATTCTCTAAGGACCAGGCAACAATCTCTCTTAGCACATTACAGGTTTGCTTTAACCTAACTGGAGGAGCTAAAGCTGACCTCCTCTACGCAAAGAAACCAATCTAAAAACACAAGCAGCACCGGCTTCTTCAGGACCATGTCCATGGCTCATGTGAAGGCACTAAACTCCTTCCCTGAGAAACCAGCAGGGCTCACGCAGGGGATGATATGGGTGAAAGTACTGCAAAGCTGTCAGAGTACTACCCAGACGCGACTGGTGACTGACAGCATTACAACCACTGTTAGTTGGTGAGACCTCAAGCAGTTCATCTAAACAGCTGAGTCCTCAGGCATTAAAAACAGCTCTAGATATACATTTAGATAGAATATTTTGGAAGTCAGCAGCAGGATGTGACACATGGTAGACCCTCAATAAATATTTGATGACCGAATGAACTTCAGAAAGGTCGGCTAAAGCCCCAACTTACTGGGTTTTATGAGGAACCAAGAAAAGGTCGTATGTCATAAATGAAATAGGCAAGTCCTGTTGGTTCACTGCCAATCCCGACTGACATCTTTAAATACACATCTCCTGGGCTGCGTAAGTCACAGCTTTTACAACAATGGAAACCGGGCAGCTAATCTGCGCTTACACACAAAACAAAAGCCAGCTCTGCGCAAGGAAGAAAATCAGACGGAACACCCTCCTCTGCTTTGTGGAATTCACTCATTGTCTTTCGTTTCTACTTTCTGGACCACTATGGCTCGTGTTCCGTTTCTTTTTTTAAATCTAGAGTTAAGTGTGGCGAGCATGATATCCCCGCTTCCACATGCAGAGCAGGCTTCAATGAGCATTTCATAAAAGAGGAGCTGAGATGAATTAGAGTCTTCAATATTCATATTAGGGCCCACTTATTTCGGAAGAAGGATGGTTCTTTTGTTCTTTCTTTCTTTCTTTCATACATCACGAAGGAGACAAGCCACGTTGTCCGTGCCCCGCTAAAACACATCGCCCAACAAGTCGGGGAGGGCCGGGAGGACAGGTCAGCCAAGTCACAAGCGAGGCCCGATGAGCTCAGGAACACATGGGTCATAAATACAACAAGAGCCAGGTGGACTGAGGCACAGTAAAGTCCCCAGCGCTCCGGGTTAGCCGACCCCCCTGGGAAGGGGCAGTCAAGATGACCATAGAAACCACAGCGCAAATCCCAACAGTGTGTGTGTGAAAATGTGCCATCGTGTGGAGCCTGCCACTGTCAGCATTTGTCACTTGATGGGTGAAATTTGCGAAAAATCCACATGACCGCCATGCTGTTTCCATTCAGGTGAGGACAAGGGGAAGGTTCTGCCAGCCAACTGTCTTCAGTGTGGGGGACCCTGGGTGACTAGGGGGCAGCACTTCAGCCTGAGGCACAGCAGTCGGCTGACTGGAGCGAGCTGTGACTCTGCCACCTCCGTCAGGGTCACAGCAAAGCCCGCAGACTCCGACAGCAGTCCTGCGTGCTGGACCACGTCTGCAGGAGGCCAGAGGCACTCACAGAGGCCCCTTGGATCCATGGTCTGCACTGTTTTTCCACCTAAGCGCTGCAGATAAAATTTGTCCCTGTGGGCTGGGGATATAGCTCAGTGGCACAAGCACCTGCCTGGCAAGTGCAAGGTCCTGAGTTCGGTTCCCAGTACTAACAAAAAAACAAACAAAAAAATTTGTCCCTGCAGAGCAGCCTTGGACAGCTGCTTGACGCCCCCAGAACAGTTCCCGAACCAGGGCTTCGGCCACCTCCACAGCCTTGGTGTGGGCTGCGCCCCAGCTTTCCTGAGGTACTGTTTCCCTTGCGGCCCAAGGCGTCCCCTCAACCTCTCCGCTCCGGTCCAGCAACACCTGCTCTCGGGAGACACAGGCTAGACGTCAGCTTCCGCAGGACTCGTCCTTCCCCCTCGCCAAAGCCCTGCAGGCAGAGGTCACATGTTGTGTGTTTGTCACTTGGCCTGGAGATGCTGGCCCAGAGTTTGGTGTCTGGACGTCCATGGACCAGGCCAGCTCTCTCTGGCTGCCTGCAGTGCCAACCTCAGAAGCAAGCGAGGGTCCCAGCCACGAGGGGGCCCTGGCCCCAGGCCCAGTGTACTGGGTGTGCACGGACCCATCAGAAGGAACAAGTTCCACAGGGGACGCCACACCCACTGATGCCATTCACGGTAAAAAGCATCCACGCTGGGGGTTTTAGGCGAAAGGAACAAACGATTACTACGAACTACAGATAAAGGAAAGCTGCACGGTTTTGTGGGGCTTTTTTTTTCTTTCTTATGGAAATAAATGGCCCTGCCTCAACACGTGACATAATGGCCTCTCCTGCTTATCACATTTCACAAACAATCTCCTCCCAAACAACCTGAAGAGGTCTCCTTCTCATTACAAGGGGAAGCGGGTGTGGACTGTAGGTCAGCAGATTTATTGCTTCCAGATGTTTGCAGCTCGGGACTGGCTAAGTCAGAGAACAGCACAAGGCAGCATCAGGGTGGGACAAGCAGGACGGAGAAAAAAAGCAGACCGCTCGGAAGCGGGGACGAAGCCCCGGCAGCAGGGGGCTGAGGAACGCAGGCCCTTCCCGATGCAACCTCAGAACAGGAACCGGGGAGCAGAAGCTTGTTCTGAAACCAAAGAAAGACCACGACGGTGCCACTTTCATGGGAGCCCCATGAAAAGGCCTCCAGACTCTGCTTCTGTAACCTGGCGAGGGCTTGCCAGGAAGCTCTGCGCCGAAGACCTTGGCCGTCACCAGCTGGCGACCCCTCTGTGCAACCTCGCTGCACTTGAAGGCAAAGAATAACTCTGAGGCCCGGAAGTTCTGCACACAACTCTGCCCGCTCCACTCACAGTAACGCACGGCGTGCAGAAACTTTTTTTTTTTTTTTTTCCGGTACCGGGAATTGAACTCATGACCTTGCGCTTGCCAGGCAGGCACTGTGCCGCTGAGCTAAATCCCCAGCCCCATGCAGAAACATTTTGGATGCAGAAGCAAGAGAAGGAGCAAGTGTGGGGAACGTCCTGCTTTCAAGCCAGAGACAGTGACCCTGGTCATTCACTGCAGTGCAGATAATGGATGGGCTGCCCCAGAGAGGCTGGGGGTGTCAGGGAGTACACACCGAAAGAGCCCTATACACCGTGTTGTCAGCCCTGGCTAAATCTCCCTGTAACAATATCCTTTCACCAGGACAAAAACGCTTCCCAGCCTACTGTGGATCTTACTGCAGTGAAATTCACACTATGAATCATTCCATATGTCAAGGACTTCCTTAGGCCATTCACTAATACAACAATGACACAACACCCTCAGCAGGCTACGTAAATAATAAATGGAGGCAGGCAGTAAACATAGCGTTGACGTATACAACGCTTCCAATATGGCCACGTGCTTGCAGTTTAATCAAGGTTTTGTAACTGTGGGTGACTGCGTAAGAAATCCCTTTTACAAAAGCAAAATTAATTTTAAAATAAAACTTTCTTTCATCCAACAGGGCAAGGTTGGTAATACCAAGAATTCCTCATACTGAGAAATTTAAAAGGTTACCAGATACTAGCTGGTTTCATTTAGAATACTAGTTTACCTTCGCTCATTAAGAAGAAATAGTTGGTGTTATTAAAAGAAAGTGTTTCTTTTTTGTAACAATCTTTTGACTTATGTCTTGTCCTTTGAGTAACTACTTTGAAGAAAATGATACACCATGCAATAATCTTTGTTATTCTTGTTATTTGCTTGTTAAATTATTTTCATAAAATTAAAAATAAAAATAAGCAAACTATAAACACTTGAGAATATATAGTTAACTCTGCTAATAAAAATAAAGTTAGAATCAGTATGAATAAAAAAAGGTTTCTAAGGCAATGCTTTTTCCGTGTTCTTTTGCTTTTTGCTTGCATATTCTTAAACTTGGAGAGTAGAGTGAGTCCTCTCACTGTCTAGATTTGTAGTGGGTACAGGTTAATTAACACAGTAGGCTGATTACACTTCCTGCCCCCTTGGTAAGTACACTGACCGGCATGCACACTGGGCTAAATAGCTGAAGCTAGTAGTTGTTCTCCAGCAGCCTGGCAGAGTTTGGCTCATGCCAGGTTAGCAACATGCTGCCCCAAAGTCAATGTCTTTGCCCAGAAACCTGATGTGACAGTAAAATATTATAGAAACAGGTGAAACATACAAGTGAAAAGAGAATTGCTACTCCCATAAAACTAAACTGAGGGGCTGGGGATTTAGCTCAGCGGCAAAAGCGCCTGCCTGGCAAGCGCAAGGTCGTGAGTTCGGTTCCCGGTACCGGAGAAAAAAAACCAAAAAAAAAAAAAAAAAAAAACAAAACCAAAAAAAAACTAAACTGAATGCTTTGCAAAGACACATGAAAAACAGGTTGATTAAAAAAAAAAAAAAGCATTGCTTTCAAATTAGGTGTAGGCGAATCAACTTTTTAAAAACTGTTGGGCAGAGTAGGGGGTGAAAGGAGGCACTCAAAATCCAAAAAAAAAAAAAAAAAAAAAAAAAAATCAAGAGAGTCTTGCACTCAGATTGTTTTGCTAGTCCCTAAAGAAGCCCAGACTGGAAACTGCAGCTGATACATGGTGGGTACTTTTTGATAGGAGAAAAATCACACAGAGCTCCACTCAGTAAAGCAACACTCAAAACGGAACAAATGAATCGGGATTCGTTGAAAGACTGGCAAATAAACGTCCACTCATGTATCTGAAGCTAAAATGTTTAAGGCCCATATACCAATTGTTAGTAACAGTCTTGATAAAGTGGACTGGTGGTTTCCAATGTGGTGGATGGAAAAGCAGTCATCCATGGGAATTCTGTATGGAAGAGTTAAACACACCGATCTGAGGATCCTTCTCTAGGGCCCTGTTCTCAGTAAATATCCAGGAGTGAAACAGATCAGAATTCACACACGGGAAGGACATAACCTTCAACGGAGCTGCTCAAAAATAAAATCATGGTGGATCTAGAGCTCACGGCACACCTAAGCTTTTGCCCAGCTTTGTGTCCTTGGAATATACGCACTCACCACTACGAAAGGACGGGGTTTGGGTGGCAGGCAGCAGCCTGCGATCCAGAAGGCTTCCTGACCAAGCTTTGCCCTGACTTTAGTATCAAGGACCTAGATCGCCTCTGTCCCTCAAGGCTGCTCCTGTGAGCACCGCGAGGCCGGCCTTACCTTCTGCCGCTGCTGAATGCTGGCCACGGTGTCAGGCTGAAAGTCCAGCTTGTCCGTGCGGCACAGCTTCCAGTACAAGATGACGATGATCACCGTCACCACCAGCACTGGGATGACCACGCCAACAATGATCCACAGGTTGTTGCTCTGGGACTCCGGTGAGGGCCTCTTCACCCTGTCCACAGCTGCAGAGGAGGACGGAGAGGGTGTCAGTGATGCCTTTTAACGCATACCCTGGTCTGGATGGGCCTGCTTCCATGAGAAAGCTGAGGAGTAACTGTCATTTTCACTCAAGACAAGATGACAGGATGACAGGGGATGTGACGTAGCAAACACATGCAACACCGAAGGTCACGTGTGGAACACCCTGGGGGCCTTGATGACGTGTAAGATGTGTCTAAAGGGTCCGGCTCATTTAATGGCAAAGCTCAGGGGATCCTGGGTCTCCTGACTTCTCCTTTATCCTACTAGTTCACTCTGAAATTCTTACTGCAGGACATTTCTCTACCAAAATGATCCTGCACAACATTGTTCAAAAGCAGTTCTCTTCACAGATGAAGGAAAAAGCAGCTCCACCTCCAGAGGAAAGTGGTGATCACTGTATGAAGCACAGCAGGGATCCACAGTCTCCCAGGTCTCAGGGTGCCTGAGCCACAACCAGGAGGCTCGGGGAAGGACATCCTCACCTATCCTCAACTCCTCCACTCAGTCTCCCTACTTAGCCAAAAACATTTATTACAGGCGAGACACAGTGCTAAAGGCAGGAGACAAGGATGTACAAGTAGACAAGCCCCTCAAGGAGCACATGTCTGGCCAGGCAGGGTGACGCATGCCCGTCATCCCAGCACTCAGGAGGCTGAGGCAGGAGGATCACTATGAGTTTGAGGCCAGTCTGGGTTACACAGTGAGTTCAAGGCCAGCCTGAACTATATAGAGAGACTCTGTCACAAACAAAATAAAACAAAAGGAGCACAGATTCTAGTGAGGGAAGAGGGAATCACTGGGGAAACAAATCACTAAATAATGTTCTAATGCTGGGTACTGTTAGCATTGTACACCAAAAGGAACAACCAATGTGATACAGAGTGAGCACAAAGGCAATCACACTGGGGAGGCTATTAATGCCACTGAATTACACAGTTACGAGTGGTAAAAATGGTCTGTTTCATGCTACATATATTTTACAACAATTTTTTATATATAATCAAGGTGATCCTGAAATTTTTCTCAAGGGAACGTTGAGGTTGGAGCTGAAGTCCTAACCCTCGGTTCGTGGGCACTACCTTCAGTTCCTCTTCTGCAGCCTTCTCTGAACCCTTGAAACACGCACTTTAATGGAAACTGCTTTAAGGCACCAATGTCGACTTTTTAACTAGATGCAAGTAAATCTTACTCCTTTGGAATCTGCCACTCCCCACCCACCCCTACTCAGCCCCTTCATCTTTCACATCCTAGACAATCCTGCCCCAAATTTACTTCACTGGCTCCTTGCCCACCCCTGCTCCCAGGTTGGGGCCCTGTGTCTTCTGTGTCCTGAGTTCCTCCTCCCCCAGACTCAGCTTCCCATAATCCTCAGTGCTTCCCATAAGCCTCAGCGCTTCCCATAAGCCTCAGCGCTTCCCATAAGCCTCAGTGCTTCTCTCCTTCAGACCCAGTTATGTAATCCCAAAACCCCTCCTTCCACCCAAACTTCTTATCCCTTATGGCTGCTTCCTAACAATACCAATATCTTCTGTATCTAGTCTTTTGTTCTTCTTGTCTTTGTTTTGTAGATGGTGCCTTATTGTTCTTTTAAAATTCTTATTACATAAATTTAACAGCTTGATACACTGCACCACTCTGCACATTAATCTGCTGATGCCAAGTCTGCTCTGTTTGCGTACATCTTAGCCATCTGGGCAGGGACAGTCTTATGCTCCTTCACATCCTGCCATGGCTAATCCCTGCCTTGGGGGCCAAGCGTCTCTGCTTGAAGACACAGTAACTGGAAAGATTCTTGGGGCAGGTACATGCTGAGAGAACCACAGCGAGAGCGAAGCATTCTCCACCACACAGACTACAAGACAGGCAGAAGGTACAGCAGAGGCTACAGGAGACATGGGAGAAAGTGACTAAGTGTGAAAAACTGGTATTTTAAAATTTAGCCTGGATTTAATTTATATTTGTAGCTCATCCTGCACAAAACAACTGACAACATTAAGGCAATGACAGCATTAACCAGGGAGTGGAGAGATAGTACGCTTAGTTCTAACCTAATAAAGCATTAGAGAGGCAGAGATGGGGGAAAGCTAGGTCCTGACACCAGCATCCCCGAAGCCACCTGGCGCTGGCTGAGGCTTCCTTCTACCGCCGGCCCTGAAGTCCCGGAGTTGTTGCCCGTGTGGTTTCCAATGCAAAATGAGAAAGGAGAGGGACAAGACCAGATGGGAGGAGGCTCACAGGGCGCCCTTATCTGGCTGAAGCCAGCCTTGTTCAAGGTGTGGAGCGGAGGGAGGCCTCTGACGATCAGGACCGCCACACACAACACAACGGCAGGCAGTGCTTGCACTGCGGCTTCGCACTCGCCACTTTGGAAAAGAATACTCCTGTGCCACTGAATCACAAATAAATGCTTCTCGTCCACGCTCTCCCTTCCTCTCCCACCAAATGGGGAAAGAACACCTCCCCGCTTCCCCGTGCTACCGAGGATAAGTTGGAAGCTGTCATTTTTTCAAAACTGCTCTGTCTCCTGCACAGTCTCAGTACACTTTTTCAGGATTCTCAGATGCTGAGACATTGCCTGAGCCCTTTCTGGTCGAAAGCAAGTTTCGCTGTGCTCTCACAAGGGCCAGGGAGGAGAAGTATCCATGGTACAACAGCAGGCAGGTTCAGAAAGGTCTCGCTGGAGAAATGTGCTCCTCGTGCCTCCCCTTTTCCTTCGTTTGGAACGTGCATCCAAAATTTGAAAAGGTGGAAAAGAGGCCCTGGGAGCAGTCACCACCCGGCGGGCAGAAGCCAGGTCCCTTCCAACAATAATAAAAAAGCAGCAAAATACCTCTTTCTGGACTGTGGAGCAGTGTGAGGACAGGGTGGGAGAGAGGCAGGACTGGAAAGGGTGAGGATCAAGGATTTCTTTGTGTTTGCAGACCCCGAAGGAAGCCAATAAACCCAGAGTGCACCTCCCAGCTTCCTGTATGACTCACTGTCCCCACCATCGACCTGAATATGACACAGAGGATTTTGGAATAAAAGCAAAACAAGCACCTTATTTTACCTAAGACAAAGTTTTTAAAAGAGAAATAGCACGGGCATTGGAGAAGGGATGTTAAAATTGATCCCAGCACTCAGGAAGCTGAGGCAGGAGGATTACCATTAATCTGAGGCCAGCCTGGGCTACATAGTGAGTTCAAGGCCAGCCGGGACCACATAGTGAGATTCGGCCTCAAAAAAAAAGTTGATATCGGATACTGTAACTCACTACAACACTGTGGATACAGAATGCTGAGTGGCCACCACAATAAGCAAGTGAACTGTGTGATAAAGAAAGTCTCAGCAAAAGAACTTCAACAACAGGCACCCTAGGTCAGTCTCACACCTGTAATTCCAGCAATGAGGGAGGCCGAGCCAGGAGGATTGCAAGTTCAAGTCTTGCCTGAGCAACTTAGCATAACTGTCTCAAAACAAAAAAATAGAATAAAATAAAATAAAACAAGGGATAAGGATGTAATTCAATGGCAAAGCACCTGAGTTTGATCCCCAGAACTAAAAAAAAAAAAAAACTTTGTATAGTGCCTGTTCATAAGGGTTGTAGACACAAATTTACTGTACCCGCATTGGAATACTATACATTCAGAGCTCACTGTCAGAACAGTGCCGACAATACACTTCCAAACTTACGCTGGGCAAGAGCGCCTTGAATCCGGTAGCCCAAGATGATGGCTGCTCTCTGGAGGTCAATCTTGTTAATCAGGTCGGAGGACGTGACAGCGCTGAGTCTCTCTCCATCCTGATCCTCCACAAAGTAGATGAGCTGCACAGGGTTGTCCTCCCCGTCCAGCCGGGACACATTCACTACCTGAGAGACCACAGCAGCCGTTAGCAGTTAGCGTGGAAGGAGCTCATGTTTCCATATACCCTTTCTCGGGTCACGGAATCCGGACTGTGTTGCCAGGAACGATTCCAGCCCTCATAAGCTCCTTACGCCAGCACCCTGGATCACACGGGCTCTCCTCGGCAGGAAAAGAGATCATACATGACAGTGCCCCTGTGCAGAATATAAACGTGCTTTGTCCCACCCAGCAACTTCTCCAAGACCATGGGGCCAGCGGGACACACAGAACATATCCAGGCAGCCTGGAATTGTCACCAAGAAGCCCCAACAGGCTACCGTGTCACAAGACGCTATCCTTCCACCTACAAATGGTTATTCCTAATCCATTCTTGAACTAATAAGCACTGCTTCCTCCCAAAACCTCAGAGGCACAGCTACTCTGGGTAGACAGATCTTGCAGGAAGGAGCATGGTAGGATATCAGCAGGATCCCTGTTCTCCACCCACCACAGGCCAGTAGCACCCACCCCTCCCTACACCACCCAAGGTGACAATCACAATGTCTCCAGACACAATAAACTCCCAAAGTTTGTGCTCTTGTGCTGTGGGCCAGCTAGAGCTCTGATTTCCCCCCAAATTTCTGTGTGTGTGTGTGTGTGTGTGTGTTATAGGACAATCCTCTCGCATCATACTTAGAATGCAGTACGCTTGGCATACTAAGTACTGCATGAAAACATCATTTTTATTTTGTTGCCATTTCTCTTAAAAGCACGTAATCTTTTTTTTTTGCCTCTCTAGACTCCAGCAAAACACACAGCTCAGGGTCTGAGAAAAGGGCCAACACATGCTTCATCTGACACATGCAACTTGAATTTTTGATCTGTACATTTGCTGTTGGAAAAACGCAGCTGCTACTTCTCTACCCATACATATTTTTGTGACACTGCCCTGCACTCTGGGAATAGCAGCTGAGCCCAACCTTGGCCATGGGAAAACTTCTGGCAATTTCCTGATTGCACCGTGAACTCCTTCAAGATCTCATCCAAAGACCCTTCATGATGCAGGTACGAACTCCAACCCCTCAAGAATGTGCGCTGTTCATCCTCCGTCCTGTCCTTTGCTTGGTGTTTTGAGGCCAGTTTCCCAACCACAGCTACTCCCCAGCCACCTACCCCTGCCCCACTACGTGCTACAGCCATGTGTTCTTGGCTTTAGAATGAAGCACTGTCAGAGGGCTCTTGGAGATTTAGTGGACCCTATCTACCCATCCCTCCACCATTCTATTAAAAGGTTCTCATAAATTTAGAAAGTACAGTTTCTTCTTGTAGAAATCATAGCCACCTTGATGAAAGACTCTACAAGCTCGTCCAGTCTCAGAGTAACATCAGAAAGTCTAATTCCAGCACCTTTCTGCGTGACTGCAATTCAGACTCACATCTGGAACCATGACATCCCAGGGTCACCACTTTGTGCCATTTTCAATTTCATCTTGAAACCAGGTTCTGGGGCTGGACATGTAGCTCAGTGGTACAGCCCTTGCCTCGCAGGCCGGAGACCTGATCCCCAGCACCACAAAACAAGCAAGCAAAAAACAAAATCAGTTTCTGACCAAAATCACATGCTCACTATTGACATTATATGGCCCATGTGGAGAAACTTTGAAAAACATATGCAAAAAAAAGTATAAAGAAGAAAATGCGAATGCCCTGAAATTCAACTAATAAAAGCACTATAAGCATGTTGGCATCCTTTTCCCCAGGAACTCTGTACTAACTTTTGGATGATACTGCATGTATCCTTTTGTGGCTTCTCTTCATTTCATCATTTTCTCATATATCACTCACTAATTTTTTTTAAAAAGACTGCATCATATTCCAACATGTGAAGGGTTACTATTTATCCATTCCCCAACCGCTGAACACTTAGGTTGGTGACACTTTCACACTGACGTGATAGGGGGCCCTGTACTACTCTATATGATTCCTTGTCTACACCTTCATGTTCGGTCACTGAGAAGAAAGAAGAGCAGAATGTGATTTGAGAGCAACTTGCCTACCTGGGCTGTATTTCTGTCTTAAGTTCACACCTCACCTTGGTCTCTCAGTACACAGTTTAATAGTGCCCTACAGTTTCTTTCTTTTTTTTTTTTTTTTTTTTTTTTCTTTTTTCCTGTCTTTTTGCAACAGGGTCTTGCTACGCAGTTCAGGCTGGAGTTGAGCTCACTTTGTAGCCTAGGCTGGCCTCGAACTTGCAATGATCCTCCTGCCTCAGCCTCCTGAGTGCTGGGATTACAGGTATGCATCACCATGCCCAGCCTTCCTACAGTTTCTTTATGTGTATAAATTAACCACTCTCAGACTCTGAGCTCTATAAAGCCAAGGGCGATTGAATAAGGCAAAGCTTTCATAATTCATTTTATTTTGTATTCTTTGTTTTGCGCCTGTTTGCTGAATGATTCCTATCAATGATTATTAAGTCTGCACATTTCTCTAGAGTCTGTATCTGGCAAAGGAATGACTTTAGGGGGAGCAGAGTGTCACAGTAAGAGGGAAAAGTTCAGTGAAGATGTTGGTGGATGAGGATGTCAATTCTAGACAAAGCTGCCACCCCGGTCCTCCCCAGTGTCACTTTGGCATTTTCTCTCCAGTGCTCTACACCTCCCACCTCCCACACCTTCTGCCAGCCCCACCCAGCACCTCTGAGCTTCACCCTGTGTCCTGGCACTGGGATGTCACAGCTCTAAACACGGCATTCATTTTCCTGGCCCTCCAAGTCTGCGGTTGGTAGAGAAAAAAAAAATCTAGAACATTCATGAGAAGATGGGAATAAGTCACAGCCCTAACCTCTGGCCTCCTGGGAGTGTACATTGTAAAATGGGTCACTTTTCAATTCAAACAACTCTGTCTTTTGCAACCTGCCTCGAATTTACCACAGTGAAGATCTGCGAAACAGGAGGCAACTGGGTTGGCAGGGGTGGAGGGGGTGAAATGCTAGGACAAAGGGCAGAAAGCATCACCCCTGGCAGGGCATGTAACCCCAACATCCAGGAGTCTGAAGCAAGAGGATCGCAGAGAGTTCAAGGCCAGCCTGAACTATACAGCAAGATCCTGTCTCAAAAAACCAAATAAAAGAAACAGAAAAGAAAGAAGAAGAAAGAAGAAAGAAAAAGAGAAAGAAGAAAGAAAAAGAGTAAGAAAGAAAGAAAAGAAAGAAAGAGAAAGAAAGAAAGAAAGAAAGAAAGAAAGAAAGAAAGAAAGAAAGAAAGAAAGAAAGAAAGAAAGAGAGAGAAAGAAACCCTCTTTTCATTTCTTGGTCTTTTCCAGATGATTCACCTCTACAATGTCATCAGTGATACTTCAGACTTCGCATTTGGCTATATTGTTTGGTAATTAAAAAACTACTCTCTGGTAAAGGTCATGTGATCATATGGGAACCTGTAAACAGGTCTTCCACTGTGTTCTAAGGGTCTAAGGTTAAACCAACCACTTCGTACGGGTCCGGTTAATATTTTCCTGGACTCCAGTTGACTCCCACACTGCTGCCATATCAGTTGCTTCCTGTCCAGATCAAACCTTCCGCTGGTATTTCCCCCTTGCAGGGTAAAACAGCAGGTTTTCGGTCTCTTCCGCCCCTCCCCCGAGAGTACCTGCACCACGCTGTTGCCGGCGGCCACCGTGGCCCTCCTCCACACGCGCCTCCGGGCGGGCACCTCGCTGAGCAGCTGCGCCAGCTTGCGCTCCATCTCCGCCTGGAACACCTCACTCTGCAGCTGCTTCTCCACGACGCCCAGGAGGACTGCGGTCAACAGGGAACACACGGCACCCAAAGCAAGTCAGCGGTGCAGAGGAGAAGGGAGGTGTGTGAGTGTGCATATGTGTGTGTGTGCGTGTGTGTGTGCGCGTGTGTAAAACTAATGCCTTTAGAGGAAACGTTAACATGGACAGAAACGCCACAGACAGGGTGAGGAGGGTCCAGGAAGCCCCGTCCTCTCAGCTGCAGCTCCCCGGTGAGTGTTGCACACAGAGGTGTCCAGAAGCCGCAGGAATTCAGCCCTGCAGGCGCTCTGAGGCAGTGTTCACACCGGATCAAACACTTGTGCCTGCACTAATCTCAGAACTTCTGGAAGCAGCCGCAGTCCCTATCTTGCCTTAAAACAGACTTGCAAACTAATTTGAGGAAAGGGTGTCTGCCTATCTTCTGCTATCTGCCTTAGATGAGATCATCTAGAGAGATGATCCACTTATCCACTCAGGCAAGGGGGAAACAGCAAACGCCCTTCAGCCACAACTACTTGCAGTCCTCTTGTGACAAGACCACGGGCAAGTCTCTTAATCACTATGACAATTATCTGGCAGATGGGACCCAGGCAGCATGCAAAGGGGTGGGCCCTGGCATGGGAGGTAATATGTAAAGTAGGAATTTGTAAGCTTTGGGGGTCCCACAAGTGGTGATCTCTCCCCCGCATGACCAGGCACGGTGCAGCTCATTGGGCTTCCAGGAACCGGATCAGACGGTCCTTCTCTGCAGCACACTTGCTCAGGGCATCTGCCCAGGCCCCAAGATGGCTTGCCAAGCTACCTTCATCACCCTTAGAAAGCCACACCAACAAGTTTTAGGGGAAAAAGATCTTTGCTTCTGAACCTCACCCTGTTCTGGGTCAAGAGCTGTCCCTCCCAGAGAGACTCTGCCCCGCACTTGATGTATGAGTTTCACAGAAGACTAATTCTTTTTGTGCCATAACTCCATGGGACACACTCCCACAGCCCATTTGAATCCTTTTCTCGTTCATTTTTTGCCAAGAATGTAAAGTACATTTTGCCCTGATTTTAGTCAACAGGAAAGGCGGGTCCTTCTCCAAAGACCCAAACAGACTTCTTATTCTTAACGGTCTTAAAACATTACTTAAGTGAAACGTACCTGTTCTGACCCAGGAGGACTTCAGTAACTGAGATAAGTTGAGCTGTGGGTACTGGAAGGCTGCACAAAGGAAAGTCAGGGAGGGGGGAAATTGGCAAGAAAAACATCAGCACCGGTCACAAAGGCAGGTGTTCCAGGGGACGCACCGTAAGTCACAGCAAACTGTGCTCCCCACTACGTTTTGCTCTCCTTGTGCAGGGACAGAAGGTCGACCCGTGTGAGGACTTGGGGAAGGGAGCGGTTTCTGCGTGCATGGTGTCTGGGGGAGAAGGATAAAAGGGAACCACGGATACCGCTTCCCAGAGGGGTCACACTCAGGTCCATGCATGTCCCTGTTCTAGGGCAACATGTCCACACCCTGTCCCCTCAGAGCCCCAGGCCTTCCCCACAATGACTGGGGATAAAGTGACAACATGTCCTGGCTTGCCCGCTGACACTCACAGCGCACCCCTGCTGCCCAGCACACGTTGATTTTAGCCGAACTACACTGAGACGTATGTAAATAATAGCTTCCTCCCTGTCTGCTCTTATATGTTACAGGTTTTTAAATTTTTATTAACAATGCCCTGAAAAACATTACATCTCCATTCTGAAAAGAATTTTTTTCCCCTCAATTTCAACTCTGGAATCTATTATTTTTGAAGAGACCATTTCCCCCTCCCCCTGTAACCCCTCCAGCAGCCCTGTGAATCTAACCACTTCCACCAGGATGAAAGGTTTCATTTCCATTGTTATTTTTTATTTTTAAGTTTATACGCAGTAAAATTCCCCCCTCTGGCATCCGGTTTTCCCTGTTTTGAGAAATGCAGGCAGTCACACACCCACCACTTCAGGGAGGACACAGGGAGTCCTGTCACCCCAAAAGCCACCCCTTGCTGGCCCCCCTTTGCAGTCCCTTCTGTACCTACCATTATCCCTGATCTGTCCTCTGCCCTATACCTTAGCCTCTTCCAAAACTGAAGTACTTCTTTTTGTTTGGAGCTTTGGATTTGTTCATTTGCTATTTTTTACCCTGTTCATCTGTTTTTTGTGGTACTGGAGATTGAACCCAGAACCTCAGATGTGCCATGCAAACACTCCACTACTGAGCTATATGGTCAGCCTTTTCTTTTCTTTTTTTTTTTTCCCTTTTTGAGACAAAGTCTTGCTAAGTTGTCCAGGCTAGCTCTGAACTCAAGATCCTCCTGCTTCAGCCTCCCCAGTAGCTGGGGTGACAGGAATGCCCCACTATGCTTAGGCTTGGAGTACTTTTTAATAGCACCTTTTTACTCTCAAAAGCAAAAGTCAGGGAGGCACAGTGCCTGAGCAGGGCTCCGAAGGCCCACCCTGGTTGGAATCTGGGAAGTTCCAATTCCGTCTGACCATACTCTGGACTTAAATCAAACACTTCCTCTATAAGAAAGATCTTTGTGAGACCACCCTGTAGGATGCTTCCACGGTGGATACACCACCAAGAGTGAGCCCAACATCAACTATGGGCTTTGATGACAGTGCGCAGCTTCACAGGCTGTAACAGACGGCCACTCTCGGGGAACTGGAGACGGGAGCGGCCGCTTCGGGGCGGGGTGCAGGGGAAATCTCCATGCCTTCGTAACATTTTTGCTTTGACCCCAAAAGTGCTCTAAGACATTCAAGTGTTTTTAAAAATTAAAAAAATATTTTCAAAAAAGAAGTCCACTGACTGTGATACCCAAGCCACCTGCCCCCCCAGGGGTGTGGAACTCACGTTCTGCAATCTGTAGCACCGGGTACCCCAGGTAGAAGCTGAACTCCACCACGCTCAGGTTCCGGAGCAGCTCGCTCACCTCCGAGCCGTTCACAAACCCCTGTGCGCTTTTAACAGCGAAGACGATGTTGACCGGGCCCCGGCGGGGGGCCACCCTTGAGCCCACGGTGACATTCAAGACCTGAAAGAAGGAAGTCAGAAGAAACTTTGGCGGGGCTGGGGATTTAGCTCAGCGTCACAGCGCCTGCGTGGCAAGCACAAGATCATGAGTTCAATTTCTGGTACCTGGAAAAAAAACCCAAAAACCAAAAAAAAAGAAACTTCAGAAACAAAGCACTGAGCTGACAGCCTGAGGAATTCTCTTTCCCAAGTTCGCTGATCCCCTTTTTTTTAAAAAAGGTGGTTAAGTTTTCCTCAAGAAAGAGAAACTGGCTGTGTAACCTGGTTCCCTTTCACAAGACTTTCGACACTCGACTTATTGAAAATGCTTTTTATGTTTTAAGTGATGAACCATACACATGTATTTATACATATTCTCCCTCTGCTTCCACCTCAGATCTCCTGAAATAACAGTAAACTGAACAAAGGGGTAAAATCCACAATAGTGCTGGGAATTTCAGAAGAAATCCAAAAACGCTGTCAAGTTTCTGGAAGATGGAGAAAGGGCAGGATCATAATGAAATAAACCAGAACAGAGGGAAGCAAGACCAAAACACACACAAGCTTAGACCACAGCACAGCCGGGAGCCCCACACACACAGGGGCCGGGAGAGGTCCGGGCAGAGAGCAGAGGAAACTCAGGTCGGCGGCACGGGCTCCAGAGCCCAGCCCTAATTAGCAGAATTAATTCAAACTCGGCAGGCCCAAGGTCTGAGTCAGTCTCCTCCTCTTCACCCCCCACTGCACACCCAGGCTGGCACAGGCCTAGCAGCTGCACACATCTTCTCCCTGAAGAGCCCCTGAACGGCTCCCACGGGTCCAGATCCCAAGGAAGAAGGAGGCAGAGACAGGTAAACTCCAGTGTGCACATGGGTACACAAGAGACAAAGAGGGAAAGGAAAGAAAGGAGGCTCTGCCCTGAACCCTCAGTAGCGCCCATGCCCTGCACACCTCCTTGGCCTGGCCCTGCACACTCTGCAGCGAGAAGAAAGCCTGTGCCCACACACCCTGCCAGAGCACCCATGAAGTCTCCCATCAGGGGACAAGGCTGACGCAGAAATGGGCCCCATGGCTGAAGGGGAAAGCTGGACCACTGGCCAAAATTAACATACTGATTCTGCATCTCTAACGAGCAGCCAATCAGTGATCTTCACCCATTTACAGGTAACTAGCAGCACAAAGCAAAGCACCGAGATCAATGCAGGGACAGAGGACTACAGAGAAAACACAGCTAAGGTCAGAAATGGAAGCAGATTGTTTAAAGTCCTAGTTACTGCTCTCCGAGATGCTGGAGGCAGCCCTGCACCATCACAGGAAAGGCTGCAGAGAAAAAGGAAATAAAACGATTACTGAAGAAAACTCAACAGAAGGAGTCAACTTCATAACAGCCACAGCTGAAGACCTGCAGGGTAGGGTGTAGAAAATCAGTAAAACAGACAACAAAAAGATATGGAAAATATAAGGACAAAAATAAGAAAGACACCTAGCAAGTGCAAGTTCCTGTGTTTGATTGCCAGTAGCCCCCCAAAAAGGAAAGATGGAAGGCAAATTCAGAAGTGCCAAAGTCGGGGCTGGGGATTTAGCTCAGCGGCAAAGCGCCTGCCTGGCAAGCGCAAGGTCGTGAGTTCGGTTCCCCGTACCGGAGAAAAACCAAAAACCAAAAAAAAAAACCACCAACAAAAAAGAAGTGCCAAAGTCTAGTTCCCACGCATCGCAAAGGACAAAGCAAAGAATGTAGAGGGATCAAAAATCAAAGATATAAAAATATCAAGTTTCCATCCAAGACATACAAAGGCAATTCTTGGGTCAGAATCCTCTCCTCTGCCTCCCTTTATTCCAGAACACAGCATCCCTTCTCTGAAAATCCAAAGCACCTTTGCTGTAATTCTTTGAGTACCAGTGTGTTGTTCAAAGGTTTCAGACTTTAGAGAACTTCAGATTTTCACACTATGGAAGCTCAAGCAATGAAGTCTATATAAATATTCCCAAAATCTAAAAATTCCCAGATTTGAAACACTTCCTGCCCCATGCATTTTGAATATGCATTTTCATACTCAAGCTGTATGAAAACCCCAGTATGTTGGCTCATTCCCCTACTGAGTACCATTTTCTTCCTGATGTCTTGAATCTCCTGCACATGGTCCTCCTCCCATGGGCTCCTCCGCCCCTGAGCTCCCGGGATACCCGCTGCTCTACAATCTCCACAGAGGCTCAGCCCACTCGCGCTGGGTGGACACACCACACCACAGAAGGACATCAACCGGGCCCAGATGAACTGGATTTCCTCCAGTGGAGGGAATAAGGATGAAACACAATGAGAAAGAAGCACAGTGGAACCATTTCTCTTTTAAAGGACAAAGCGTTCTGTGCTGCATTCGGTGGCATCCTCACCTGCACGGTGAGGTTGTATGTGCCCTGCTGGTGTTTTCTCACTTCAAACAGAGCTGTCATTAGGCCTTTCTCCAGGCGCTGGGTGAAGTTGCAGAAGCCGGTATCCACACTCGGAGGCACAAACTGAAGTACTGAAAAGAAGGACAGCAATAAAGCCCCGTGAACAAGGTGCTCCTTAAGGATTCAAGAATGAAGGGAGGGAAGAGACCAGCACTGCAATCGGCTAATTCTTCCAAAGCACAGGTTCAAGTGTTCTATTGTATGATAATCTTTTAAAATATATTTTTGTTTTTAATGAACACGTAATAATTGTACATGTTTAGGGGATACAAAGTAACATTTCAATTCATGAATATTATGTTAGTGATCAGATGTTAGTGATCCTTCCCCACACCCTTCCTGGTCTCTACGTTCTCCTTCTTTGGGATCTGCTTGTTAACATATATGTATGTGGGAATGTGATCTTTGGCTTTTTCTTCCTGAGTTATTTTACATAATGCAATGTCCTCCAGTTCTCTATCCACATTGCTGCGGATGAGAGGAATTCACTCTTCTTTGTGGCTGAATGATATTCTGCTGTGTATACACACCGTATTTTCTTAACCCATTCACCTGTCAGCGGACACCTACACTGACTGCACATCTTGACTACTGTGAATACAGTTGCAATTTAACACGTGAGTGCAGATGTCTTTTGGACATACTGATTCCAATTCCTTTGGATATATATCCAGGACTGGGATTCCTGATCCATATGGTAGGAATCTTCATAGTGCTTGCCATCATGGTTGTGCTAGTTTACCTTCCCTTCCTCCTCAACAGGGAAGAGTTCCCCATTCCACCCATCGCCAGCATTGGTTATTTTGTTTTGTTTTTTCACAATAACCAAAATGGAGGCAAGATTCCTCATTGTGGTTTTGATTTGCGTTTCTCTGATAATTAGTGAGACTGAACATCTTTCATATATTTCTGGCCATTTGTAGATCCTCTTTTGAGAAATGTCTATTTAGGTCAGTTACCCATTTTTTAATGGGATTACTTGAGGTTCTGCTGTTGACTTCCTTTTGCTAAATTCCTTATACATTCTGACATGAATCTCCTGTTAGACAAATCGTCTGAAAATACTTTCTCCCATTCTGTAGGCAGTCTCTTTTCTCTGGCAGTTTCTTTTACTGTATAGAAACTTTTCAGTTTAAGGTAACCCCGTTTGTCAATTTTTGCTTTCATTGGCTGTGCTTTTGTGGTCGTACCCAATAAATCTTTGCCCAGGCCAATGTCTTAAAGCATTTCCCCAATGTTTTCTTGCATTATTTCACAGCTATGGGTCTCACATTCCTGTCTTTGATCCATTTTGAGTTAACTTTTGTATACAGTACAAGATAGTTTCTGTCTTTTGAATATAGATTCCAATTCCCTTCCTTTCTCTCCAAGAAGATAATTTGCTCTTTTATTGACAAGACTGTCCTTTCTCCAATATATGTTTTTAACTCCCTCTGTCAAAAATCAGTTGGTGCAAACACATGGGTCTAATTCTCTATTCTGATCCATTGATGTATAATTTCTCTTTCACACAATACTCTGTGTTTCTATTGCAATGGTTTTATAGTATGTTTCGAAGTTTTGTTCTTTTTGCTCAGGATTGCCTTGGTTATTCTGGGTCTTTTGTGGCTCCGTGCAAATTTTACAAGGTTTTGGTTTTGGTTTGGTTTGGTTTGGCTTTCTATTTCTGTGAAGAATGTCTGGTATTTTGATAGGAATTACATTAAATCTGTAGATCACTCTGGGTAGTGTGGACATATTAATTATAGCAAGTCTCCCAATTCATGAACATGGAATACATTTCCATTTTGCGAGCGTCTCCTTTAATTTCTTTCATTGGTGTTTTGTAAATTTCACTGTAGAGATCACGCCTTCCCTTGCTTTAATTTAGTCCTAGAAGTTTTCTGCTTGGGTTTTGGGGTGCTGTTGTTGTCGTTGTCATTGTCACTTCTCGTGAATGAGACTATTTTCTTGATTTCTTCATCAGCGATTTTATTTTTGGTGTATTTAAACACCTACAATTTATATATGTTTATATTATATCCTACAATCGTATGAATTCATTTGTTAATTCTAACAGGAGTGTGTGTGTGTGTGTGTGTGTGTGTGTGTGTGTGTGTGCAGTCTTCAGATTTTTTTACAGATAAAATCATGTTATCTGCAGACAAGGGCATTTTTACTTCCTCCTTTCCTATCTGGACACTCTTTGTTTTGTTTTCTTGCCTGTAGTTCTGGCTAAGCTTTCCAAAACTATACTGAATAGAAGTGGTAAAAGCAGACATCCTTGTGTTGCTCTCAATCTTAAAGGCAAAAGTTGTAGCTTTTCCCCATTCGGTATGATGTTTGCTGTGAGTTTTTCATGTAAAGCTTTTATACTGTTAAAGTAAATGACTTTTGTACAGTTTCTTGGGGGCTTTGTTTATGAAGGGATGGTCACTCATAACAATGTTGTGTAATTTTCATGTAGAGGAAAACCTTGGGTTGCATGTGACTTGTATGAGTATTCTGCAAGGCAAGCTAACATTTCCAATAAATTTTGGCTTTTTTCTTTTTTCGTCTCAGAAGTAACTGTATCATTCCCTTCTCCATTGACCTGAGAAGTCTGCTGTTGGTGTAATGGGCATTCCCTTGTATAGGACTTGATACTTCTGTTGTTTTTTTAGAATTTTTGCTTTGCCTTGTACTTTTGGCTGTTTGACTATAATATACATTGCCTCAAAGAAAATCTTTCTAGGTGACTCTATGAGGGTGTCCTCTGAGCTTTCAGACCTGGATATCTGTATCTTTGCCCAGACCTGGAATGTCTTCAGCAGTATTCCCCTGAACTGGTTTTTCTATGCCTTTTTTTCTTCTCTCCTTTGGAACCCAATCAGGTGGATGTCTCCACACTTCATGGTCTCCTGTATGTCTCAAAGGCTTTTTTAATTCTTTTAATTTATGGGGGAGGGGTTGTTTGTTTTTCGTCTGACTAGCTCATTTCAGAAAACTATTTTCAAGCTGAGAAATTTTTTCTTATGCCTCGCCCATTTTGCTGTTGAAGATCTCAATTATATATATATTTTTTATTTTACTTAGTGTGTTCTTTAGCTCTGTGACTTGTTCTTTTTTATAATATCTAACTTCCTGCTGAATCTCCCATTCCTAATTGTCCTCCTAGTTTCACTGAATTGTTTGTATCCTATTAAGTTTCCTTAAAATCATGATTTTGAGAGCCAGCTGTGGAGTGGCACATGCCTGTAGTCCCAGCACTGAGGAGACTGAGGCAGGAGGATTGCCATGAGTTCAAGGCCAGACTGGACTACATAGTGAGGCTCTGTCTCAGAAAAACCAAATATTATTATTATTATTATTATTATTATTATTATTATTAAGTTCTTTTTCAGGTAATTCAGTGATTTCTTTTTCTTTCAGGTCTACTGCTACAGAGTGTTCCTTTTGAAGGTATCACTTTACATTTCTTTTCCAAGCTTAGTATGTCCCTACACTGATGTTTCTGTGTACAGGATGGCTTTGCTAATGAATGACTTCCTCCTGGCAATGTGTCCTAGGGTGTTTGTTGGAAAAGCCATGTGGCTTTGGTTCCAGGTAGGTGTTTTAAGTTGATGTCCATACAGGTTCTTTAGCTACAATCAACATCAGCACCATCTTCAGATGGCCTGGTGACCTAGGCTCAGGGGTTGTGAGGTTGCACTACCAGCTGTGAGGCACATCTCAGGTTCCATAGTTTGCATGAGGCCCACCTGGGGGTCCAGGTGGGTGTACTGCAGCTTGCTGCTAGTGGATCAGTGTCTGAAGCCACACAGGAGCCTGAATGCACTGCAGACTAGTGGGGCGCCTGTCAGTGTCCCAGGGCTCCAAGGGTGACCTGCAGGGCCTCTGAGGGACAACTTGCTCAGGATGGTCTAACCAGCTGTCTCCCATGGCTGTGGGAAGTGGTATGCTGCCTGTCTGGGTCTCAGGGCTGGGGTGGACCATGTCTCTGAGAAACTGCTCAACTACTTCCTGGGGTGGCAAGCGACAGGCAGAGCTACCCAGCTGCTCCCAAGCCATGGGTGGGTCATCGTCTATGTGTTATCTCACTGGCATGCAGAGAGCCAACTCTGTACCAAATTAATTCAGGCAAGATGAAGGTGATGGGCATTGTTTTAAAACAGAAAAATTCTTAGTTTAAGAATCTAACCATTGCAAGAAACACACTTCAAATATATATATATATGTGTGTGCGTGTGTGTGTATATATTATATATATATATATATCCATAAGAGATTAATTCTTATATATTTACTGGTGAAATGACATTGTCTCTGGTATTGCCATAAAACACTCCCACATCTTCATAAAAAAAAGCCTGTGGGGGAGAGATGAAACAAAACTGGTAAAGTCTTGATTTTTTTCTTAAGCTTCGTGATGAGCACATGCGAAAGTAATTTTTTTTATTTTAAAGAGAAAGATAAACAATACCAACAACAAAGAGAAAGACAAAACACAAAAACAATAAAAACGATACAGAACTTCCAAACAAGATGGTAGAAAATTAACAAGAATAGTTATACTACATATTGTTATCTTCAATGAAGTTGCTGAGATTACCAGATGTAAGACTGCAAGATTGACTGAACAATTAAAGAAAATAAAAAATAATTCAAAAACATTAGAAATGATATAGAGCTTCACTAAACAAAATGGTAGGAATTCGGGGCTGGGGATTTAGCTCAGCGGCAAAAGCGCCTGCCTAGCAGGCGCAAGGTCGTGAGTTCGGTTCCTGGTACCGGAGAAAAACCAAAAAAAAAAAAAAAAAAAAAAAAAAAAAATGGTAGGAATTCAACAATGGTTGTTATATTGCATATTGCTGTCTTCAAATTAGTTGTTCAGATTACCAGATATAAGCATGCAAAATTGGTCAAAAAAATTAACTGTTCCTTTCAATAAAGCAATAGACATCAGCAGTACAATTACCCCAGCTATCCTTGTATATACATATGTATTTTTTTCTCTTCTTTCTTTCCTTCTCTTCTTTCTCTTATCGCAGTTGTTCCTTCCCTTTGTGCAGTTTCTTTCCCTTTCACAACATCTATTGTACCTTTTGAGTTTTATTTACTCTTTCAGGTTTTTATACGAGGGAGACAATATGATGTTTACACATGCAGGTCTGATTTATCTCATTTCTGAGTATGGTCTCTAGTTGCATTCATTTACCTATAAAAACCTCAAGTTTATCTTTTTATAGCTGAGCAATACTCCATTGTATAAAAATACCACATCTTTTTATCCATTCCTCAGTTGATGGGCATTTGGGTTGTTTCCAAGATTTAGCTATGACAAATTGCACTGCTATAAATATGAGTGCACATATATCACTGTGGTATGACGTTTTCAGGTTTTCTGAAAAAATACCCAGAAGGGGAATAGCTTGGTTAAGTGGGACCTCTAATCCTAGTTTTGTGAGTAATCTCCACACTGAGTTCCACAGTGGTTTCACCAGCCTACACTTGCACCAACAGTAGAGGAGGGTTCCTTTTTCCCCGTAGCCCCTCCAGCGTTTGTTATTGGTTGATTTCTTGATTAAAGCCATTCTTTCTGGGGTGAGATGGAATCTCAGTATTGTTTTAATCTGCATTTCTCAAATGCCCAATGATGTTGGACATTCTGTCATGTACTTATTTGCCAATTGTATTTCTTTATCTGAGAAGTGTGTATTCATCTCAGAGCCCCATTTTTGGACTGGGTCTTTGACTTTTGAGGGCCTGAATCTTTGTATGCTCTAGATAGAAGTCCTTTTTCTGAGGGACAGTTGGCTAAATTTTTTCCCAATTCATGGGTTTTTTTTTTACCCTGTTGGTGATTTCTTTTGATCTGCAAAAACTTTTCAATAAAATGAGCTCCCAGTTGTTCATTCTTTGAAGTAGTTCCCATGCAGTTTGGTTTTTGTTCATGAACTCTCTGCCTACCCCTACATCTTCAAGATTCCTACCTAATTTCTCCTCCAGTGTTTCTTTTTTTTGTTTTGTTTTGTTTTTTTTTTTTGTTTTTTCTCTGGTACCAGGAACCGAACTCACGACCTTGCGCTTGCCAGGCAGGCGCTTTTGCCGCTGAGCTAAATCCCCTGCCCCTCTCCTCCAGTGTTTCTGTTTGTATATTTAGATCTTTGATCCATTTTGACTTTAGTGTATGGTGATAGACATGGATCTAATTTTAGTCTTCAGCATGTGGAAAGCCAGTTTTTCCAGCATCATTTATTAAAGAGGCTATCTTTCTTCCAGTGAACATGTTTGGCCCTTTTGTCAAAGGTAAGGTGGCTGAGTGTATTTGTAGTTGTGTCTGCTCTTCTAATCTGTTCCACTGATCCTTAGCTCTGTTTTTTTGCCAGTACCATGCTGATTTTATCACAGTAGCTTTGTAGTATAATTTCAAATTAGGGATTGTGATGCCTCCTGCCTTTCCTTTGTTGCCGAGGATTGCTTTTGCTATTCTAGGTCTCTTCTGGTTCCAGGTGAATTTCAGGAATGTTTTCTCTAGTCCTGTGAGGTATATTAATGGTATTTTAATTGGGATTGCATTGAATCTATACAACAATTTTGGGAGTATGGCCATTTTCACACTATTGGTTCTTCCTATCCAGGAGCAAGGAATACCTTTCCATATTCTGAAATCCTCTTCGATCTCTTTTACTTTCTTTGTTAGACTGATTCCTAAGCATTTCATTTTTTTGGACACTATTGTGAAAGGTATGGTTTCCCTAATTTCTCTCTCAGTGTATTTGTTGTTTGTGTACAGGAAGGCTATTAATTTTTGAGTGTTGATTTGTATCCAGCTATGCTACTGAATTTGGTTATTAAATCTACAAGTCTCTTGGTGGAGTTTTTGGGGTCTTCTACGTAGAGTATCATGTCATCTGCGAATAATGATAATTTCATTTCTTCCTTTCCTATCCTTACTCCTTTTATTTCTCTCTCTTGTCTAATTGCTCTGGCTAATGTTTCCAGCACTATATTGAATAGGAGTGGTGACAGTGGACATCCTTGTGCTGTTCCTAATTTTAAAGTGAAAGCTTTCAGTTTTTGTCCATTTAGTATGATGTTGGCTGTTGGTTTGTCATAGATGGCTTTTATCAGAGTGAGGTAGAGACCATCTATTCTGATTGTGAAAGTAATATGTTATTCTACTTTTGTATATGTTTACAATAAAAGTGCAGTGTGATATTAAGGAACTACTGTTAGCTTCAGGGGGCATGATGTGGACAGAGAGAGAGAGAGAGAGAGAGAGAGAGAGAAAGAGAGAGAGTGTGTGTGTGTGTGTGTGTGCACAATAGGCCTTTTCTACTAGAGACATAAGATGAAGTATTTCTGAGTGAGATAATACACTGCCTGAGATTCACTGAAAATAACATGATGGAGAGCATTGAGTGGGGGTAGAGGTAGTAGTCTGGGTAAGGGGTTAAAAACTGCTGGAATCCTATGGCGGGCACATTGGGATTCATCAACAGATTCTCTATACTTTTGTATAGCTTCGAATTTTTCCATAACTATAAAGTTTGGTGTTTTAGTTAAATAATAAAGCCAAGTACAGTGGCACCCGGAAGTTCAAGGCCATCTTAAACAACATAGCAAGACTTTATTTCAAGAAATAAAATTTAGGGGATATAGCTCAGTGGCACAAACACCTGCCTGGCAAGTGCAAGGTCTTGAGTTTGATTCCTGGTACCAAAAAATAAAATTTAAAAGCAATCCTCTATTTTAAAAATATATATACAAAAAATTTCTACTTACAAATAAAAACTGCGGTGCTCAGTTCTCACCTGTTTGAACTTGGAACCTGGACTCAGGCACCAGGAATGAAGGCTTCACAGACAGGATTAAGGGAGTTTGGTCACGCACGAGTTTACTGTTGATGAGGACATTAATGACTGATATTGCCGTGTAAACGAAAGGACCGGATGTTACCAAAAAAGTGAAATCCGTGAACAGCTCATAAACCTAGGGAATCAAATATACAAAAGATGATTCAAACTTCAAGGAATTTGCATTGGAGACAAAAATAATAAATTAGGTTTAAAAATGCATCACTGGTTTAAGTGAAAGGTACTGCTTCATATACAACCAACATTCTATTTGAGCTATTCTTTTTATAGTCTTCCAACCTTCTCGAAAACAGCAAGAAGGAGAAGCCAGTAATACGAATTGAGCAATGATTTATACAGAGTTCAGGTGGCTGCTGTGTTTTACCCACACAGAAAGAAGCTCTTACTCAACTGGACATCGCCATCCAAAATAAGTATAACAGGAGCCACTCAGGCAATTTTAAATTTCTAGCAGCCACACTTAAAAAACATAGGGATGGGTGAAATTAATCCCATATACATTTTACTTAACCCCAATAGATATGAAACAGCAATCAACTTGTAGTCAATACAAAAAGTACAGGTGAAATATTTTACGTTTCTCATTCATTTTTAAGATCCAGTGTATATTTTACACTGGCAGCACACCCCAACCCAGCAGAGCGCTATTTCACGAGCCCCACAGCCACTGTGCCTCACGGCTTTGGTTAGGGACAGTACGCGTTCAGATAAGCACGGCTCCCTGAGCCACACGGGGAAAGGACCACTGTCACAGAGTCCTTGTAAAAGATAGGCACACCTGCAATGGCAGCACTTGGGAGGCTGAGGCAGGAGGATCACTGTGAATTCGAGGCCATCCTGGGCTACAAAGTGACTTCAAGATCAGCCTCAACCACCAAGGGAAATTCTGTCTCAAAAATTTAAAAAAAAAAAGTACGAATCCATCTCTATCCCACTAAGTGTACAAAAGGATGAAAATGTCTCTGAAATCTAGTCTAAACTTGAAATCTAAGTTCAAATCCAAGTCCTTTAATATGAATCAAGGGAAGCAAAATTGTCATGGGCATCTCCCCAGAAGGTTGCCTCTGGACTGAGAGCCCGTTGTTCCAACTCTGTGAACACATCCCCTCCCTGCTTCCCCAGGGGCTGACCCGGCCCTGTGTGGAGCCAGGAAAGGATTCCCTGACAAGAATGAGCAGAGAACCAGAGCAGGAGCAGCAATGAGCCAGGAGAGGCGCGGGATGGGGAAAGAGAAGGATCCTGCGGCACTGTCACCTGCCGACAGGCTCACACCCGGCCGCGGGACTCACCTGCAGCTCCACGGCGCGTCTGAAGTGCACCTTCAGCACCTCCTTGATGGCTGTGATGATGTACTCCTGGACGGCTCTTCTGGCCAGCACTGCAAGTCCAAGCCAACCACCAATCACATTTTAGTGTCATTCCGTGTCCAAGTGTGTGAGCAGCCCCCAAAGTCACTTTCTCAAATAAGGTTCAGATGCAGACAGGACAGAGGTGAAGGACCTAAATGCCACTAACTACCCACAGAGGAATGCAGGAGCCTCAAGGTAGCAGGGAAGCTGCACAAAGCGCCAGCTCAACACCCAAGAGTAACTCTCTGCCTCGGGGAGTGAGATCTGGAAGCAGCTGCTGGGAACCAGCAAGAGGACCAACAGCTTCCGGTTCTCATTTTCATGAGCAATGAACAAATATCAGGCTGTCTCTTGGCCATGCTCCCAACTGCAAAGCACAACGCTTTAAAAGCTATCAGAAAGAATACTTCCAGGCCTTATGATGCTACTCAACAAAACTAGCCATATTCCTCCACAAAAGGCGGGTTCCCACCTTAACTTTTCAAAGTATGTAACCAGTATTGATCACTAATAATGCACAAGGAAGATTTTTCCGAATTCTCATGTTTTAGGTTTTCATGCAGGCGACAGAATGTTTTCCATACCAAAGTCTAATTCTGCTTCGTTTTCTCCACATCCACAAAGATCCATTTGAAAATCTGTACTATTCTGGTTGTGGGGGCATACGCCTATATACTCGGGAGGCTGAGGCAGGAGGAGCACTGCAAATTTGAAGCCAGCCTGGGCTACACAGCAAGACCCTGTCTCAAAAACAAAAACAGCTCGGGGGCTGGGGATATAGCTCAGCGGCACAAGCACCTGCCTGGCAAGTGTGAGGTTGTAAGTCTGATTCCTTGAACAACAACAACAAAAAAAAAAACCTGTCTAAGAAACAAAAACATCTGTACTAATTAGAGTGTCTGTTGATCACTGGTGTTTAGTATGCTCACCATTCTCTTCCCTTCCTCTTCCATCCACTTTCCATAATGCAGAATTAGAATACACTTAATATTATTATTATATTCCTCATCTTTAAAAAGTATAGGTTCAAGTTATACTTGCTTGTTTTTCTAATGGGTCAGGGACCCAGATATTAAAAAGGTGGGAGGTATCACTTCCTTAGATCACGAGACCATCAGAACACACCCATAGCCCTGCCCACCTCACTGGGTCACACCTGGGCCAGCTCAGCCTGGCCTTTATAGGCTCCAAGTGGACCAGACTGTGCCATGGTTAAAGCGCAGGAAAGGGGTGGGGCGGAAAGAAAGATACCTCACTTAAGGAAAAAAATGAAGAGGCAGGGAGCAAAAGGAAGGATGCGGGAGGGAGGAAGGAAGAAAGAAAAGGTCTCAAGAACTAAACTTAGAGAAGGTGAGACAGAATGGAAAGTCAGAAAGAGAAGGACCCTAAAGAAGAAAGCCGGAAGTACGCATGGCAAGCATCCCCATACAGAGAAAGGTAAAGGTATCCACGCAGGACATCCAAGCACTGCTCTAAACTAAAGCTCTCCCCGCTGCCCCAGCAGTCCCCACCGCAACCACCACTTTCTCTAGTTAACACAAGGAAGACACAAAAAACCCCGACATTAGCATATAAGGTCACGAGTTTTCGGAAACTCTTTACAGCTTTCCAACCATCATAACGTAGCGCCAAGGGCCTCCCCATAAACCATCCTGGCCCAGCTGCACCTGCAGGACCGCTAGTTTATCACAGAGCTCCGTGAAGGAGAATCTTCTCCCCCACTCGCTCTGTCCAACTTCCTCACTGACAGATGACTACCAAAGAGAAAGCAACCAGATCCCGTCTAAACAGGGACCGCAGGTGAGGACATGTCCTCTGGCCAAACGCATTACTACTGCGAGGCAGACGGCTCCTGTCTCCTCTCCAATATGGCAAGGCACCCTGGTGCTTCCGCTCAGCCTTGTGCGGCTGCCAGAAGCTGTTAAAAATTTAGATACCTAATAATAAAGGCCACCAAATGTCATTCAGCGTATATCACATGTAAGAGTTAAACTGGGGCTGGCGGTGTACTTCGGCAGCAGAGCGTTTGCCTAGCAGGCATGAGGCCCTGGGGTTTAACCATGGCCCAGTCTGGTCCACTCAGAGCTTATAAAGGTCAGGCTGAGTTGGCCCAGGTATGACCCAGTGTAGTGGCAGGAGAGCAGGACACGGTCACAGACCTGGCAGGCAGGCCCAGTACTACCAAAAAAAAGTTTAAATTTATACTGCATGATATCTGATATTTTTAGAGCTACATATAAAATAGAAAAATTCTAGAAGACACAAGATTACAAGTGCCACAGACTCTCAGAAGCTTTCAATAACTTCCAACAAGCTCTTTATAACCAACCACTTCATAGCTACTTTGTAATAGTTTTTGTTTAAAAAGGAAAGAGAAGTAGCCTGTGAGAAAGTCTCCTACCTCTCCCCAGAAAGACTACCCGGGCAGGCTGAAGTCTAATTCCCATGACCTGGTCTGACTTCTGGCCTGGCTGAATGTCCTCTCCGTTCAGAGGACCCTGTCCCTCTACCTAGAAGACAGCGCTCTCCTCTTACTTTAACGTGGACTCCAATCTCACCTCCTCAGGAACCCATAGGGAACTTTGCTGTCATCACAACTACCAACGAAACACGGTGCCTGCCTGCCTGCCTGCCAGGTCTGCGGCCGTGTCCTGCTCTCCCATGCTCCCCACAGCACCACAAGTGCCTCCTGCGTGTTAAGTGCTAATGCGTTTAGCACACTTGGGATAGGCAGCGGGAGCGCTCAGAGGGCGGCAAGCAGCGCCTGCATGGCCCACTCACCCGGGTGGAGACAGAGAAGAGCCTGCCCACCCCCTCCGCTCTCCCTGCCCACCCTCTCCTCCCCACTCCTCCCTTACTTCTGCCCTTGTCTCCCCATTTGCTTCTACCCCAGCCCCATGAGTCGGACACACAGCTCCTTGTCAACGTTAGGGTGGAGGTGAGCACACAAGGCACCGTGCACCTCCGCATCACTTCTCATGGAGGCAAACTTAGGGGGCGAATCAAGCAGGCCACTGTCACCGGACGTCAGCCTGCAGGGGAGTCCCTGAGAACAGCCGCGTCCCCTATCCTCTGTGCACGCATGGGTTATGAGTTCCAGAGCCAAAGATCTCGCCAAAAACTTCTACAGCGCCCTTACATCTTTTATTTGTTCTTATTGCAACTACAAAGTAACATGCAATATTTTGTCAGTACTTCCAAGGTGCCAGGGACGTGGCTAAATATCTCATATGCAGCGATGCACTTAAATCTTTACAGTAACCCAGTGAAGCAGTGCTTCCTTCATCCTTGTTTAATAGCTGAGGAGACAGAAGCTAAGTAACCATTGGGAGCCCCAGGAGACGGGCAGGAGCGGGGGAATCACTTCTCCCGGGTTTTGTGAGTCCGGCAACAGTCTGCACCCTGTTGGTCTGTCAGAGAAGCACTGAGACAGGCACCTGAGGGGCTCCCCCACCCCAGAGAGGTGACGGAAGCAAGGACTTACCAGTTGTGATCAGGTAGGCGTCAGGGACTGTGATGTCGCACACGTACGGTGTCTGGGTGGTGACCAGTGCTGGAGTCACTTCAGGGGTGGCAGTGCTCACAGGATAGAGGGATGGCAGGGGTGGCATTGAGCTGCTCCCCTGGGGACTCTGACTTGCAGTATGGCCACTGAGGGCTCCGTCCACCGTGTCACCAGCGCTAGACGTGCTTGGCTCAGGGGAGGTGTCCCACGGTGAATCTGTGGGTGCCGAGGAGGGGCCCACGATGGCCGGCTCTGTGGGCAGAGGTGAGGGGCTCAGCTCTGAGACAACCGAGGGTGCTGAGGACAGGTACACGTTGGTGACTGAGGCTGTACTGGTAGGAGTGACTCTGGAGGAAGAGGGTAAGACAGTGGTGTGGTCACCTGTACCTCTGACAAAGTCATCGAACGGTGTGGGAGCAAAGGACAGAGAAGACTCAGGTAAAACAGGTGTCAAAGAGAAAGCGGTTGACGGTGACAGGATGGGAGTCCCAGCACTTAGGACGTCCGGGGTGGGCTCAGAGCCAGCGGGCACCAGTGAGGTGACGGAAGATTCGTGGGGAATGAATGAAAACCCCAGATCAGAGGTAGTTTCAGTGAAAGCTGAGGTAAAATGAGCTTCCAAGTCCAACAGGGAAACTGTGGAGGCTTCGGCAGACGTGAGAGACCCCGAGGGGAGGCTGGAGAGTGGTGACGTTGTCGAGGGAGCAGGCGGGAAAGCGGCTGTTTTTAAAGGAAAGTCTGAACTGGGTGAGGGCTGAGGAACCTCAAAGTTTGTGGAACTGGGGACAGGGAGCTGAGGTGACTCCCAGCTGACAGAGTCAGACAACACAGACATCTCCGCCAGGGAGGAGAAGGACTGAGACGTGGAGGGCGACAGGTCCCTTGGCATCGGAGAGGGAGAAGCAGGTGCTTCTGAAGATGAAGGGGCCAGGCCGCTGAGTTCCAGCGGTGGAGTCGGGTAAAAGCTGGACACAAAATCCAAAAGACTCCCGGGTTCGCGTTCCAAAAGGTGGGCAGGGTGTTGGGCAGAGAGAAGGGAGGATGCTACTGAAGGGGCCCAGCTGTCAGAGGCGGAGAGACTCCGGTCCGTGGTGGCAAGTGATGAGAGGGTTCTGTCGGCCATGACAGAGAATGAAGAATCGAGGGAGATGCTGGTGGCGGAAGGGAGCTCAGCCGCCACCGTGGACGGCACTGCTTCAGGGCCCACAGAAGAGACTGAGGCAGGATCGGGCGACACTGGCGCAGTCAGGGGGCCATGGACAGAGGACTCCTGGGTGGTGGTAACGCCGCTCCCATCCACCTCAGCTGACAGACTGCTGCTTGCTTCTGAGACCCCCACCAGTCTGGAAGAAAGGGAGACGACAGGTCTCGGGGGGAAAAATGTATTAAATTCTTGAGGATCTTCCTCAAAATCAGCAAAGTCCAGGCCCACGCTGCTCCACGGAGAGGGGCTGCTCACTTGCAGTGTGGCCAGCGACAGGGTCTCGGGCCCATCCCCTGACCCCATGTTTCCCTCCACAAGGCTTGTGGCTGGAAGAGGCCGTGGAGAAGCCACAGCACAGGACGCGCACCAAGTGTACGGCCTGGGGTAGGCCAGCGGAGTCTGGCCACCTGTACAACTGGGGACCAGAGAACGGCGAGGCAATTCTGATGCTTCGCTGGCTCTGCTGGGAAGGACGGGGTGAGAGGAAACATCGGCTGCTTGAACAGAAAAGGAGGCAGAGGCAGGAGGGCTTGAAAACAAAGCAGAATGTGTGCTGCTGAACGTAAGGGCTGCGTGTGACTTGGTGACAGTGCGAGATGTTCCTGGAGAGATGGCTTCTTCCAGGGCTTGACTCAAAGCAGTGGTCACAGCTGGGTCTCCTTCTGCGCTCGTGGCCAGGACATCGTCTGGGGGCTGGGAGGCCTGCTCCGAGGGGACAGATGGCTGCGGAGTCAGGCCACTACCCGACAGCAGAGACACCAGAGACCAGGAGCTGAGATCCAGGGCCTCTGGACCCTCCGTTACCGATGCCACGATCTCTAGGGGGGTCCTACTTGATGACTGCCTGTAAGTTTCTGTAGGATAAAGCACCAGATTCCTACTAGGAGTTGGAATTATGCCCTCAGAGGTGGGAAAAGTCGACCACAAAGTGCCAAAGTGCCCAGAGGACTCGACATATGCCGATGGTTGCTGCACTGTGTTTTGCCAGGCCGACACCACCTCTTCATGCTGCACAGAAATACTGGGTAGCAACGGAGTGGGCGCAGGCTCGGGCATTTCTCGGGGCAGCCCTGGAGGGCTGGCTGTGATGTAGGGCACGGGGGAAACCAACCGTGAAGAGGGCCAGTGGGCATCTGGCAAAAAGTTATCCATGTCATCATCACCAACAGCCACCTCGTTACTTGTCACTGACCCGTAATTAGCCACAAAGATGCTATGATCCCCTGCACTTCGGGTCTGTTCCTCATGGTGTAAAAAAGTCGTATCAAAAGTAGTGGCAGATGGAGAGGCTATGACAGGGAGAGACCTGCTGGGCAGGGACCCGGGAACAGTCTCTGTTAAGGCCACATGTGCAGCACTGAGCGCGCGGCTCGTCTCCGGCAGGAGCTCCTCGGAGGATAAAGACAGGTTGTGCTGTTCCAGCGAGAGCTCGTCTGCGGAAAAAGCAAAGCTGGGTTAGCCAGGTGCAGTGAAAATCACACGGCTGACATCTGGCTGCAGGCATAAAAATACACTCATTCAATAAACATCCATTCACTGTAAATATCTACAGCTCATCGTTGGATATTACGCAGCTAGTCGGAAGCCAGACATCACCAGAGTGGAGGCATCGGCAGAGAACTACATCTGTAAACATTCACCAGCTTGAGCACAGCCTTCGCTCAAGGGTGTATGTTCATGTACACATTTGCATACTTTGATCTATTACTTTACAACGGTGTACATTTAGACCACAACACAAGAGAAAGCAAGAAACAGGCCTCAGGAGGTTGTCTGGACTGTTCTCATTTATTTATCACACCAGGAAAGAGAAGTTAGAGAAGGTCGATAAACCAATGGTAAGATCACCCACACAAGGGAGAGAGAATGTGGATACAAGATGCCTCAACCCCAAAGCCTATGTTTTCTCTTCCAGGGTAAGGGCTGGCTCCTGAGAAATACATAGGGTGACTCTTGCCAGTGTCAGCCAGTACCCTGTTAAGGGCTCCACAGTTCCCTGGATAAAGCAAGTGTGGCACTTCTGCACCACACAGTACCACCCTGCCATAAGGAAGGTAAACTGGAGCCATCCAGAGAACAGAAGCACCTTCAGACCAGACTGCTACAGGAAATAAATCAGCACACGAGTTTAAATATCGCATGGTTTCTCTTACATGAGAAGCCCCAAATATAAATAAAGCCCAAAGCAAAAGATAGATCATAGGGAACAGGAAGATAGGTCTTTTGCAAAAGGGAAGGGGATAGGAGGTAGAGAGGAAGGGGATGAAGAGAGAATTGAGAGGTGTTATGTACACGTGCCAGCTCCCCATAAGGAATATGAGCATTACTTACTGCAAATATGGACTAATAAAATTCTTTTGAGACAGGGTCTCACTGTGTAGCCCAGGCTGGCCTCGAACTCTCGGTGTCTTCCTGGGGCCCAGCACACTGAGTGACATGTGGTAGGCGCTCAATAAACACCTGCTCCACCAACGAATGCGGGTGTCTGAGGACAGTCAGCGCTGACGAGTGCCCCATCTTCCCGTCCCCTGTGCGCTCTCCTCGCCTTGGTCCTTGGGACAGCTGTCATCATCTGAAAAGCACAGGTGCCTCCACCTGTGATTCAGATTTGCTGCCTGGAAGAGCAGGACAAGAAGGCCCAGAGCTCCGCTTCCTGTCCACGACAGCACCAGGACGGGGCAGTGATCACCTCAGTGGGTGTGAGGAGTGCAGGGGAGATCTTCAAGTCACTCTACCTTATGATTGGCATCATTCAAAAGGATAAAGGGGGTCACACTCACAAGGGGAGCAGCAAAGGAAGATGGTAGTGGCCACCGAGCTCCAGCAGCCCCAGAAGCTAGGACCACAGACAGAGGCAGAGTCTCCTGCGGTGCCCTCACCTGGAACCAACTGCTGACACCTCGACCTTGGACCTCCATCTCCGGGAGAGAGACAATCTCTGTTGCTCAAGCTAAAAAAAGAAAAATGTCTATCCATCTTGATTTGGTGCAGCAATTATATAGAGCCTCCTCATGTTTAAAAGCTATATTTATTGTGTGGTCCTGGTAAGTATGCGCTTAAAATCCTAATTTAAAGCAGACCAGGTCTCCCATATATCAGAGGTTACATAAACTGTTCTCAGCCCAAGGAGAGTGGCTCCTGCCCATAGTTCAGGCTGAGGCAGATGGGTCACTTGAGCCTACAAGTTCAAGACCAGCGTGGACAGCAGTGAGACGCTGTCTTGAAAAAAAAAATCCTTCAGCTAGCGTTTTAACAAATCCAACCACAGAATTAAAACTTTACAAAACACATAGAGAGATAAGGTACCATGAACAAAAGTCAAGAAAAACTCCATGAAAAAAGTCAAAAGAAACTCACACAAGTAGTCACACATCTATAAACTTAAGAATGATGAAATTTTGAGATACAGTTTTAAAATATATTTAATTCAGCTAGGCACTGGTGCATGCCTATAATTCCAGCACTCAGGGAGGCTGAGACAGGAGGATCTCAAGTCTGAGCCCAGCCCAGACAGTGTAGCAACTTAGTGAGTTCCTTGTCTCAAAATAAGAGGTGCAGGGGAGGGCAGGGGCAGGAGGAAGGAAGGGAGGGTGGGCTGGGGATGTAGCTTAGTGTGAAAACCCTGGGTTCAATTCCCAGTATGGAAAAAAAAAAAGGCAAATTTAATTCATTTAGAATAATAAAGTGGGGGCTGGGGATATAGTTCAGCGGCACAAGTGCCTGCCCGGCAAGCACAAGGTCCTAAGCTTGATTCTTGGTACCAAAAAAATAAAAAATAAATAATAAATAAATAAATAAATAAAATAAAATAATAAAGTGGGAACTGAAAACATTAGTAATGAGTCAGAAACTACAAAAATTGGCCAGAAATATTTTAAAGAAAAACAAGGGGCTGGGGATTTAGCTCAGTGGCAAAGCGCCTGCTTGGCAAGTGCAAGGTCGTGAGTTCGGTTCCCGGTACTGGAGAAAAACCAAAAAAAGAAAAACAAAAAATTTAGAAATAAAAATATTATCATTAAAGCTCAATATACATGTAAAACAAGAATTCAGACACAGCTAAAGCAAGACTTAGTGAACTGAGGGGACACATCTGAAGAAATCAGAATGGGGCACAGAGACACAAAGAGATGCAAAACATTAAAAAGAGGCCACCAAGAGACACAGAGGTAGAATGAGATAATCCGTGAGATCAAACATACATTGATCAAAGTTTTAAGAAAAAGTAATAAAGGGAATAGAGACAATATTCAAAGAAATACTGCTGCCAAGCACGGTGGTACACACCTATAATCCCAGCACTTGAGAGGCTGAAGCAGGAGGATTGCTGAGTTCAAGGCCAGCCTGCACTACACAGCAAGACCCTGTCTTTAAAGAAAAAAAGTGCTAAGAATTTTCTAAGATTATTAGGAGGCATGAATGCTTCAATTCCAGAAGACCAAGAAATCCCAAGCAGGGCGAATTTTTTAATTTTATTTTATTTTATTTTATTTTTTTTTGGTTTTTCTCCGGTACCGGGAACTGAACTCACGACCTTGCGCTTGCCAGACAGGCGCTTTGCCGCTGAGCTAAATCCCCAGCCCCTCAGGGCGAATTTTTTTAAACCACATCTACAAATATGATCCCACAGAGCAGTACTGACAAAGACAGTGATAAATACAGTCAGAGAAAGAAGGATGGAGAATAAAGAAGCAGGTGACTACTTCACACAGCCAGAAACCAGGCGACAGCAAAGTAATATCTCCAAGCACTGAGGAAAAGTGTCTAACGTCTCTGAACAACTCTTAAGAAGATATACAAAATAATAACATTTTCGGATAAAGGAAAAGTGTTGAAACCAACCAGTCTATCAATGAAGGAGTTCCTAAACAAAGACAGCTTTCATGAGGAGAGGACTTGGCTCAGATGCAAGGTCCGCAAAGAAGGAACAGGGGATAAATAAACGCCAAACATGTGGCAAACTCTACAAACACTGACAGTGTAAATAAGAAATGACACTGCTATGTGCTTTTTGAGTTCACAGAAGGCAGATGATATAAAATTAAAACAGGACAACTGCAAGGAAGCTGAGAGGGGAACAGCACAAACACCTGGAATCCAATGGCAGAGATGGCAACCAACAGCTAAGACAACACTCCAGGAGGCTGAGGCAAGAAGATCACAAGTTTGAGCTCAGCCCGGGAAACTTAGCAAGATCTTGTCTCAAAATTTAAAATGGGCAGGGGGCTGGGGATTTAGCTCAGTGGCAAAAGCGCCTGCCTGGCATGCGCAAGGTCGTGAGTTCGGTTCCTGGTACCAGAGAAAAACGAAAAAAATAAAATAAAATAAAATAAAATGGGCCGGAAATGTAGCTCAGTGTGAAGGTCATGAGTTCAAACCCGAGGACAATAAATAAACAAATGCAAGCTAAGAGAAAATCTGTGAATAAAGTTTATAAACATTAAAATTTTTAAATACCTAGTCCTATAGGTACCATATTTTTAACAGATTCCCTTAGCAACTGAAAGTCATAAACTTACATCAGATATAAACTGGTTTTATGTTCATGTTGGGGAGTTGTTTTGCTTTGTTTTGTCTTGGGTTTTCGTACTGAGGATTGAGCTATGCCCTTCACACTGAGCCGTGTCCTCTGTCCCTTTTTAATTTTTTTAAATTTTTTAACAGCGTCCAACTAAGTCTCTAAGTTATGACTGGGCTCAAACCTTCAATCCTCTTGCCTCAGCCTCCCGGGGTGTTGGGATTACAGGCATGTGTCCACACAGCCAGCTGTAAACTGCTTGTGGTAAAGCGCCATACTCCTTTCTCTCTGGTGTGATTTTTTTTTTTTTTTTTAGTTAAAAACACAGGTCAGAGGTATAGCTCAGTGGTAAAATTCTTCCTACAATGCCCCAAGCCCTGGATTCAATCCCTACCAAAACAGAAAAAACAGAATACACCATAAAAGACTGTTTTGTAAACAGTCATTTTAAGTTGTTTCATAGCAACCTGATTAAGCATCTGCTGTCTTCCATACATCTAGCTCTAGGATTCCTTGTCTACATGCTTTTATGACACAACATATCCCAAACACAGATAAAAGAGATCATAAACCCAGGCAAAATAGCAGCTGCTCTTTTTCCCCACCAATGGTTGAAAATGAGGAAAATTAGCTCTTTTTCCCCACCAATGGTTACATTTAGGAAGTGATAAAAATCCTGGTTATGTCCAAGGTGTGACATATAAACTGGATGGTTTTCCTAAGGATAAACCATCGTATTGATCTATTTTTAAACTCCGCTCAGATATTCTGATATAATTTGCTTTGAAATAAAAGCACCGAACAAGGAGCAAGGGTCCCTTTTCAAATGCATCAGAAACACATTTTCAAGTGAACCAGAAGACTGCAAGAGGGAAAATAAAAGAGAACGGCGATGTTTAGCGGCTTCCTTATGAACCCAAAGATCTGGTGCAAATGAGAATCAAATCAACCTGCCTTTGAGGCCAGGGAACAGGGAGGACAAAGTGGTCAAAAGGACAAAAAAAAAATCCCCCTGGCTAGAAAAGCACAGGGACAAAAACTTGATATTGAGAAATGGAAGGCGCATCAGCCGGATGCTTTTCCTTTCTTTCCACCAACCCCAGGGGACAGAGGGCAGCTCAAAGCGACGCAATGCCCCAGGGAATTGCTCTGTAGTTAATTCAGGAGGAGGTTAGAAGCCTCAGGTAAGTCTCTCTCTGGGCATAAAAGGCATCGGGGACTCTGGGTTCGAGCCCTGGAGATCAATTTCCAAGTGCTACACAGTAGATCACAAAGGAATGAAAGGTTCTGTCTTTGCCGGCAGAGAGCCTCTCAGACAGTGACACGCCTCCAATTGAAGTGGGGACCTGGACAACACACGGACCTGTCCTGAAGCACTGCAGAGGGCACCTGAGCTTCCACTTGGCTCCCAGCTGACCCTGGTCTGCAACCCACTCAAGCATCCAAGCCACTCCTTGGCCTGCACAGTACACGTGGTACCATGCTGGCCTCAGTCATGTTGTGTGTCCCAGCCCGGAACTGTCATACCATGTACCCCCACCACCACACTGTGCTGGTTCACAGTGATTAGAAATCAGCAAGGAAAACACCCCACTGTCTGCCTGACAGTCACACAGGTAAAAGCATCTTCTTAAGTCATATCCCTCTGTCTGGAGCTCTTCCTCGAATTCAGGCATCAGTCTTGGAATCGTGGACTTGTCAAGCTAAATGAAGCCCTGAAGACCCCAGCCAGTCCCCTCCCGGTATAAATGCACCCCCAAGTATTTAAGCCGGCTTGCTCAAAACAGCACAGGGGGTGGTGCCGGCATACAGACAGGGACTCATGTCCTCAATCTTGACTGCTCTTCACATCGTGCCGCGTTTTGTCAAATTAGTCCATCTCATTTAAACTGGCAGCAACAAAAGTAAACTGAAAATATGCTAAATGAAGTTACGTTACAATTGAGTTGAAAGTACCTGCAAAATTCATTTTCCGAAAGCCACAAGGTGTGCATTTGGGACT